GATTTAATGATGATTATTTTTGTTGTTTTATGTGTGTTTTGGTTGTTGTTGATTGTATTGATATTTCTTATTTTTTTTATGTTGATGATTTGAATTATGATTTGTGATGGTTTATTATTATTTTACATGTTTATGAATATATGTGATTATTGCTTATTTGTTTGAATTGTGTGTATCTATAGTATGATTTGTGTATGTATGCGATATGTTTTATGTTTGTTATTTTATTTTTATGTGTTGATTCTGTTTTGTATTTTTGAATGTTTATGTATTATGTTGATGGGTGGATTATTTATATGGTGTAATATTGGATTGCATTGCATTTTTGTTATTTATTGTAGATTTTATTATGTTGTATGTAATTATGTATGGTTGATATGTGTATTTATTTGTGTTTGTGATTGTTTCTAAATTGTGATGTTTGTGAAAATTTAATTTTGATATAAGTATTGTATATTTTAATTTTGTATGTTGTTGTTGTGATTTGTTGTTTGACGTGATTTTTTGTAATGATTTTTTATGTTATTATTTGATGTTGTTTGATTTTGTTTTTTTATTTTATGAGTTGTTTGTTTTATGTTTGATTGCCCCCGTTTGTGATTTTTTGATTGTGTTGTTGCTGTCCTGTTTGTATGAGATGCAGTCTTCTTTATGCTTTTTCTGTGATTTTATTTTCGTTATGTCCGAGATCTTATGCTCTGCCGATATTGATTTTTTATATTTTGTCAGTTTTGCTCGCTCGCCCTAATGAACCCATCCTCTTTTTGTGTGTTGATGTGTGTTTGTTCTCTGTTTTTCTTGTGTCGAATCCCTCTGTATTTGTTTTATTCTATGTGCTCCCTCCTGGACATTATGTGTTTTGCCTGTCTTCTCCTTGTGCAGTGTTGCCTTCTATGTAGTTGTTCTGTTACCCATCTTAGTTGTGCCAAACTCCCTTACCCCATCTGATGTTTGTTCCATTTTGTTGATTTGCTCTTTTCTTTTGTGCTCTTTCCGCTCTTTGCTTTTATTTTGCATTCGCGGCTTTTGTCTCTTATGTTTTTTCCCTAACGGTTCTGTTTGCGGTCCTGAGCCAATACCCTTAGCAGGACGTGCCACTTAGCAGCGCCCCACTATTAATGTAAAAGATGTGTTTTGATTTGTGCTTATTTTTTTATATTTGCCAACTTTAATGTTTTATTATATTTTATGCTTTTTGTACCCCCCCTATGTTGATGTATTGTGTTTTTTTTGTGTGTTATGAAATGTTTTTTGTTTGTTTTATGTTTTGTTGATTGTTTATTGATTGATTTGAATATGTGGTATTTTTATATGTGTTATGATATTTTTTCTGCTTGTTTTGTATTTATTTGTGATTATTTTGAATTGTTGATATGTTGATTTGTGAATGATAATCTTTATATTTTGAATTGTTGATTATTGATTTGGTGAATGATGATGTGGTGAAAATTGTTTTTTGTTTTTGAAGTGTTATTTTTTATTTGATATTGTTATTTGTTATATTTATTGTATGATTATGTTGTTATTTTTGTATTGTTTTTTGAATTGATGTATTGTTATTGTGATATGATAATATGTGATGATTGTTGATTTTTTATGATGCGCGTGATTTTTTTTTTGTTTTATTGATGTATTTTATTGTTTGTGTATTATTTTTGATTTATGTATTTTTATTTTATGCATTATTGATGTTATAATTTTAGTTTTTTTTTGTTTGATCCGCCCATTATGGTTTATTTTGTTTATTGTTTTATATTTATTTTTAATATATTATGTTGTGTATGACTGTTGATTATAATCTTGTTGTATGATTTTGATGTTTATTATTATGTTTAATATTTGTATTATATCCCACTTTTTTGTGTTGTGTGTTTTTTTATTTATGATTTTGTGATGTGTTGATTTGTGTTATGCTTGTTGATTGTGTTTATTTTTTGCTTTGTTTGTGATTTTGATGATTGGATATATTTTGTTTATTGTTCTGATGATGATTGTGTGTGTTATTTGAAATGTTTTGTGTATGTATTGTGCTGTTATTATGTGTTTATTGTTGAAGTTGTTGGTTATATGTTATTTGATTTGTGGTTTTTATTTTTGGTTGTTTTTTTGTTTGCTGTATTTGATGTTTTTTGTGATGTACACATGCGGTGTGTGTTTACCTTAAAAGTTTGTCGTGTGTTGTCATGATATACGATCGTCGGAAGGCTCTCCTCTATATTGACATTAGATGCACTTGGTCTGACAAACAAAAAATCAGTGTTATACATAATATAGATTGAACTGTTTTTTTGTAACAGTATGATTTTTTAACGAGTTATGAACTTATTTTTGTAAGGTATAGGAATGGGATCGACGTTAGAGTTGTCATTTCATACCTTATCACTACTCACCTCACTATTCTACCCACATCGTTGTATTTTTAATCCAATATAGTTTTACTTACTGTATATGACATTATAGAACTCTGTGTTATCAGATGATATTGTGTATCGTTTTTTCCCCCTACATTTCGACCTTTAATGTAATTGCAACGTTGGTTGAGCAACTCTCCTTTTTTGTCCTCTGTGTGTGTGAAGGTATATACCAATGTTAGGTATTCCTCCGCTTCCTTTACCTATGTGTGTCTGTATTAGGTTGTGGGGTTGCTCCTTCAATCTTGGTCCGTAATGTGGGGCGACTGGAACCTGAAAGCTCTCAAATGTCGTCGTGTGTACATACACCCGACACGTAGCTACACGTAGCTACACGCAGTCAGACTCTGTGAGCGACAGACAATGGAGGACTCACACATTGCGAGTGGTGGCCAGGGAGTAGTGTAAAGTGCCTTGTGGAGCATACGTATTGTGAATCGAGCCACAATACTATGTTGCTTTTACTGTTTCCAGTCAATATCAGAAGAGGGACTGCAGGCTAGTAGTTTCAGCATCTACGTATCACAGAGCTAATGCCAGTATATAGTATTTGACTACTAGAATGGTGGTCCATTGGTGGTAGTAATTGATGTCCATGAATAGGTTTTGATGGAGACTCTAAAAACTATCAAGATCCATTTGCTTATGAATAATGTATCCGGGCTGTGCTAGACACAAGTTTGACTGGAATTCATGCATGCCGGTCGGTTAGCAGTTGTTAGAGTGGCCAGTGGAGCGTATTGTGCTCTATGCATACACTTTCTCTGCACTGCAAAGGGAAATTGTGCTATGGAAACAAATGAATAAGATGTAAACATCGTGCAGCTGCAATCCCAATCCCCTGAGTGGATGGGGGTCCAACTCTGCATACGTTGCTTTCTTGGTACTTTTGCATTTTTTGGTAGTTGGTACTTCTGCATTATTTATCTGTGGGATTTGGCATAAACTTTGCCATAAACCTGACAGGACTTTTACTGAAAAGTGTCTTGTAAACAACTGACACAGTCATGCCTTGCTCATAGCCCAATTAGCTATTGCTTTAGGCACACAAGAGTTTTGAGCTAGGTTGCTATTAATTGTGGTTGTATATAAGATTGCTGGAGAAGTCGCATTCTCGTTGTGTGGCTGCTCTTTTTGAGTGCAGAAAAGGGGGCGTGTTTCGTAGTTTGCGCGACTAGAAAGGGGGCGGGGTTGATTGCACCAAACGGGGGGCGACTTCAGACTTGCGTGCGCTTGTGCGGATATAGCACCGCGCTCTTCGCTTCGCGTCACTACCGACCCCCCCTACGCTTTTGTCTACACCTCCTTCTCTAGCTCCCCAAGACTCGCTCTCCCCTCCTCAGTTCTCCGACACCGCAGAGAGCGAAACAATCATGCAGTTCTACCCTCCGACCGGCGGAGGAGCCATGAGACCCGGGCTCGAGTACGGCTACTCGGCCGCCGCCGCAAACCAGCGCATGAACTGGCCGCCAGCTCTGCATCCCTCCGCCGCCTGGCCATACGACTACGCGGCGTATTCAGCCGCGGCAGCCTACCCTGCGACCGGAACCGGGGCCTCCAGCCCGTCGGCGTACCACCTCACCTCCCCGACGGGCCTGTCTCCACACCACCAGCACCAACAGCAGGGTTCCTCCACGGACCAGAACGGAGCGACGCGGCACAACATTGCCGACATCCTGGGCGGACAGGCAGACAACCTCCAGAGCGAGATCGCCAAAACGGGTGGCGCCGGCTACCAGAAGTCTCCGACCACTAGCACGGCAGCCAACATGTTCTCTCCGACTTCGGCCACCCCGGAGCATGTCCGTTCTCCTACCACTCCGACTCACCCGCACAGCATGATTTACCATCATCCAGGCGAGGTCCCCGCAAACTTCTACATCCCAGCAGCCTTACCGCGCGGCATTCCAAGTAAGATACTAACGCCAGCTAGTGACCCGTTGTCTGCTGTGCAAAGAGCCGCCACGTGTTGTAGCCCTAGGAAAGCGATGGCTCTGGGCCAAGAGTAAAAGGGGCTGGGCTGGTTGTTGCTCTGAGAGAGCTTGCTGTGTTTGTTTTCTAAAGCAAACTCCCCTTCCACCCCCTTTTTTGCAGCTTACGAAAGGGAGGGAAAAGTGTACTGGTGGACGAATGCCTTTTTTCGTGTGTGTAGCCCCAGCTAACCAGTGAGCCTAGCTGAGCTAGTGAAGGTGCTAAGTGCAGCTCAGGTGTAGCCACAACTATATTCACCCACTCATGAATACTTCCATAGAACCATGAATACTCTGACTTGGATTATAATCTGCAGCAAAATCCAGCAACCAATTGCTGCAGGGCTAGGCGAGAACTGTGCGCTTAGTCCAACATGACAGCATGGGCTGGCATGCAAAAAAACAGAGTTGAGTATAGCCTGACTTCAGTGGGGGCTTAATGCAGGTTGTGTAGAGAGGGTACTGGTGTGTGGGGGTGAGGCAGTAAGGGCCATGAGTAGTAGAGACTGTGGCTGAGAGATGAGTGTGTGTGTTTAGTGTGTTTTTAGTGGTGCCTGCCAGTACTGCAGCTACATTGTGTTCTGTGTACACTGGGGTTATTTTCTGATAACCCTCCTGGTGAGTGTGTTTAGCCTGAAGTTAAGAGGATCTTTTGCAAGTCTCTGCCTGCATTCCGTCAACTGTGAGAATATCGCTGCAAGGGCAGGCGTGGGACAGCAGTGTGCGATCACCTGTCTCCCGAGCCTCCTTGTCTGCTAATGTACATGGGATAGAAATGCCAAGGAGCACACGCCTATGCAGACCTCTTTAGAAAGTTATGAAAATGAGAGAGAGTGTGTGTGGTAGAGAGCCAGCGGTGCAGTGATCATTGCCCGGCGGAATTCCCGCTATTCACAAGGTTTGAGCCAGTGTGTGTACTGACTGCACTCCCCAATGCCCACATGTGTGTGGGGGACGCTTCTGGGCACATTCCCCCATCTTGTTCTACCGTCCACCCAGACCACTAATACAACCATCATGTTATAGTGACAGTAGATGTAGTGTAGAGTAGCTAGGACTGTGTCCATTTGTTAAGGTCATCCTCTGGGAGTTGCGAACTCTGCCTTAACTGTGCTCAATACAATTAGTCAGCCGGTACACTGGTACACTGTGTCACGCTTGCTACTGTTGATGTTATTGCTACAGTCTGCAACTTTTCTGTCCATTATACACACCTTCCCCTCCTCCTCTTCTTCCCTCTCCTCCCTCTCTTTCTCTCTTGTAGTTGGATACGATCCCCACATGGGTGACCGTCTGCATGACGGCGGAATGGGCCACCCCCCTGGACTCATCTACACCCCACCCCCTCACCCCATCACCCCAATCTCCCCCGACACCTTCTCTCCGAAGTCCTCCGAGGGCGAGGGAGACAAGTCGGCCAACGGAAAAGACAAGAAAGACTCCAAGAAGGGCCGAGCCACGTTCTCCGGAGACCAGATCGGAGAACTGGAGAAGGCTTTCAACGCGACCCAGTACCTCACCACGGCGGAGCGCTCCCGGCTCGCCGACAGACTCAACCTCTCCGAGAGCCAGGTGAAGATATGGTTCCAGAACCGACGCACAAAGTGTCGGCGGACGGCTTGGAAGAAAAACTGATGCACCTCTCTGGCTCCTCTCGTCTCTCTCTCTCTCTCTCTCTCACTTTCTGACCACCTTCTCTTACTCACCCTGGTCATACATGTTGTGCACAAATGTAAGAAGCAAGCACCTTATTCCTATACTGTCACTGTATCATAGTTGTATCGTTTCGTTTTTCTGACTCTTTTATACTTCGTCAATCTCCCACCAAGACATCATTGTGTTTTTTTGACCGTCATGATGTGTCGCTTAGAGTTTATTTAATCTTCGCTTTTGCCCTCTGTCTTTCTCTCTAAACAATTGGTCTCCTCACTCTTGTATCCCATTTATTGAGGCAGGTATCTTATAGAATCTTATAGCTATTTCTCTTCACTGTGTCTTTTTACTGTGTTACATAATTATACAACTGACTTCTAATTGAAGATTTTAATAAGTGACTCAATTATTTTATATTAATAACTGACTCGATGATAATAATGATAATAGTATTAATGGGTAGTATTATACAGCACTAAAAGTACATCATGTGAACTATAATTTTTACACAGAGATGCACACAAAGAACTTGTAAGTGATATTATTGCACATTGGTGTGTAGCTAGTGGGCTAAGGGTTTAAAAATCACTGATACTAATCGACTGAGAAATGGTTAAAATCACACTGAACTGGGTAGAGTTTCTGTCATGGCTCCAGGTCAATATTATAGTGGTTTGACTATGGAAGAGGGCGTGTCCACTCGGTGCCGGTAGTGAAGTGCAGCTGCTGCAGTGCAGTGTTGGGCATGGTAATGCTCACCCCACCTGCTCTTGTCCCGCCCTGCTGGGTGTTGGGCATGGTAGAGCAGTCGGCGGTGAAATAGGAGTGGTGGTGGTGATGGTGATGACCGTTATTGGTGGCAGTTGGATGGTGGTACGGAGAAGGGGAGGAGGAGGTGGTGGAGGAGGGGGGAGGTGTGAGGACTCTGGCCGCGGCAGCAGCTGCTGCGTTGGAGAAGTACGAGGCGGTGGGAGGGTTTCCGGCAGGCGTCCGGGGGGACTGGCCCGCCACCGCAGTGCGAGAGAGGGGGGAATGGAGGGCAAATTGGGTGGGCGAGGTGAGGCTCATGGGGGAGAAATTGGAATCAGACGACCCGCCGGGGGTCGGAGGTGACCGCAGGGCAGTGTACGGGTAGTGAACCAGGTTCTCTGACTTGTAGGCCATGGGCATGTAGCTGGGATAAAAACTGCTGTAGGGCATGAAGGAGGGGTAGGTGGGGTACTTGGGGGACTTCATCTCCATCTCGGCTTCTTCCGTCTGACGCTTGAACTTCATGCGTCGGTTCTGGAACCAGGTCTTCACCTGACGGTCGAGTGACATGGTTGACATCATTTCATGACCACAGGGCATATGTACAAAATAATATGTGAGTCTGATAATCAGACACCTTCAATAGTTTCAAAGTGTGAAAAACAGCCGTGCCGTGCATGATAGAGTGCACGGATTGCCTCAATTACAAACCGATTTGCAGCATACTACATTCGTGCAGTGTGAGAATGAGGTTGACGATTGACGAAGCTGTCATGTTACTCTTACTAAGTACCCTTGGTCGTATTATGTTGTAAGGTTGCACGAATTTCAGTACCTGCATGTCAGAGAGTTTGAGTTTCTCGGCCAACTCTCCTCTCTCTGCCGATGAGAGGTACTTCTTCTCTTGAAACTTCTTCTCGAGGTCGCCGACCTGCTCACGAGAGAAGGCAGTGCGTGGCTTCTTTTTCTTTCTGTAGCCATCGTCATCCTCTTCACCTCCACTGGTACTCACTGACTCTGTTGTGTCAGAGGAGAGGAGAATGGAGAGGAGAGAGAGATGAGAGAGAAAGGTTGAAGGAAGGGAAGCACAAGCAGGAGAAAAGAGGTTGGGAAAGGGGGAGAGAAGAGGGGGAGGAGAAAGAAGTAAAAGGGAAAAGTAAAGGGTGGATGTGAAAGTTAACACACCTCTCTTTGTGAAGGAGCTTTTGTTCTCGTGATTTCCATTGGCTGATAAATCTCCCTGGATATAGGACAATGGTTGTGGGCATCATTCATTACCCAGGGGCACCCCATTATTACTCACTCTGCCATTGCTGGTGACTGGGTGGTCTCTGTTCTCTGTCCTCCCCATGTGCTCCAGTTGAAGGGGAGTGGGGAAGTCTCCTCCGTTCTGGTCAATTGGCTTCCTCGTCAGGAGGTTGTCGATCATGAACGATGGCTGGTAAACGGCTGGCAGCTTGTCTTCCTTGCAGGAATCCATTGGTATTATTATTAGTAGAGGGAAAGAGCAGTGCTGGCAAGTGAGGGGTCGGTTAAACTTCTGGAGAAAGAAAAAACACACCTAATGTTGATAATCTAGACACCTAAATGTTGATGTTATGCACAGCCATGTCTGTCTATTAAGAAGTGGAGAAAGGTGATGGATGAAGAGAGGAGGGGACAGGGAGGGTTTGTAGTGGAGTATAATATACAGATAAAGTTCAGATTCATGGGGTAGTTCATATGTTGTAAGTTATGATCCCTAGAGACTAATGTTTGTGATATCATGTGCATGGTCCAGAGCATCAGCTGTCTTCAGACGACAGTATATACTCAAGAAACAACCAACTGAGATTCATGTGAGCACTGGAACTGTATGTCTTGCCAGCGGTGGGCACCCACAACATGGTCTAAATCAGTTGCACTTACCGTTTTTGTTTTTGTTTCCAATGTAGTGTGACGCGACATCCCTGGCAAATGAATATAAAACGACAGTTTTCCTTTGGGCTTTTCAAAGTGTGTGAATGTCATGCTTGCTAGGTGTGTGTCATTGTGGAGTAAACGTGGAGAAGGCAGCTATGCAGAGGAATATGTTGCTAGATACAAGGGCAAAGGCGAGAGTGGAGTAGCGATATAGAGCGCAGGGGAGAAGGTGGGAGAGGGAGAGGGCAGGTCACAGTGTTGGTCCATTTCCCGCGTGGAATGCTCCACACATACAGTCGTACAGTCCTCTCCCTTTCTCCTCCGCACACGACCATCCCAGACAGTTTGTTTAGCAACCCTCGCTTCCTCATTCACGCACACACACACACACACACACACCTTTGGTTTGCTCTTTGGAATTATAATACTACGCCCATCTTTACACAGTTGTTGAGGCAGTGTTAAGGGAAACGTGTTTATGGTTTACAGTACTATGTTCTCCACTGGCAGGTTTGCTTTAATGTACCACTTAATGCCAATTTATATAATAATAGGGTAATTGCAGACTTGTTTCGATTTCTTTCACGGTCAGAAATTGGTGTGGAATCAAGCTTGAAGTCATCCACAGGCTAACAGTGTCGTTCACCCAGTGATTAATAGCACTTTCCCCAGATGAATGGAGTTAAATGAACCATCTAACAGCCCATACAACTTGCCATGTTGATTCAAGAGGATCAAGTGTCTCTGTAAATCAAACCTGCAGTACCCACCCCACCACAGACACTACTATTGAAGTAAAAATGGTTTGGGAGGATTGCAAACAGCTAGAGCTGAAGCTAAGACCCCTCGACTCTCTCTTCAGATAGGGAGTAAGAGATTATACACACAGAGAGTTAAGCCTAACACACATATCTTCTTTAATATGGCTCTCAGCCAGTGACAATGAGACAGCTGAGGAGTAAGCAAGACTGTGTCTCTCCTCCTCTCCTCCAACCTACCAAGAAAGAATCCAAAGCCAGATGTGCCCTTGTTTGTGATACTACAGTAAGCACCATGTGGCAGTCTTTGTAACTAACACGGCCCAAGCCGAGCAGAACTAGCTCAAGGAAAAACAGGTCAGACCAGCCGGAAAGCGGACAAGGAAAAGACACAGGAATTAGCCATGCGGCCGAGCATGATCACTGTTTGTACATGTACACACCGACACAGCTCACCGCATGCAGTTGTATCGATAAGCAGCCACACACACGCACACATGCATGCACATGTAATCAAGTGCTATTATAGCGTTTGGAGCTAACTACATAACGGTCCTGTTGGTGAAGCATGCACCCCTGGACGTAAAATTTAATGATTATCAACATGAAATTAGAGTCCAATGTACATTGCTGTATAAAGTGATAAACATGGGAGGAATATGATATGCGAGATTCGTATTGCACAACACTACATGCACTCGAGGCTGATAGCCATTTCTCTCGTAGCTTGTAACACAATCTATCATTGCTAACAAATTCTTCATTGTAGTAAGCCGGTCAAAAACACAACAGAAAAGGGGCCATATTATTTTGTACTAGTACAGTGGAACCTCCGAACAAGGGACACTGGGGCCCATCGATTTGTCCCTTTAAGAGAGGTCATCCCTATCCCGGAGGTCATTAATAATACACTAAGTATTAGCATGGGGTGAAACAAGTGTCCTTTCTAGAGAGGTCGTCTCTATCTCGGAGAGTCCCTTATCAGGTTCTATTACAGTATGACTCGGAACACACACACACACTGCAATTTCAATCAATTCCTGATGTCCCTGTGGAGCATGGTAATTGGATAACTCTGCTAGCTGCCCGGCATTCTGCTATGTCTGACCAACTCAGACAAGCCCCAGGTCTCACCCGGAGCCAACACCCTCTCGGGCAGAATACTGGGGCTTGAAAATTAAACTTTCCCCTCCACAAGGAACTACAAAGCCAGGACATAAGAGAGGGAGTAGAGGAAAGAGATAGGAAAATTGTGCGGTTTTGAAGTCAACACATAGCCACTGCTCCTTCAGGGATGCTAACTTTATTGTATTGAATACTTCCTACATTTATTTTGTTACTGGTTATACAATGTTGCAACTGACTACACACCGGCATCATTCAGTAAAACATAAAATGGCTATGATAATTTTTGGAACGATTTCAAATCTAAAGCTCAAGCCCGGCTCAAATTGAGTGATGGGTGATTACACTGCACAATCACCCGGCATACTACCCGCCGACTTTAGGTAGACGCCACAACTACAAGCCGCCGCGTGCAGGTCCCTAGTGCTGCTTTGTTCTCTCTCCTCAACCCATTACCCACGCTTGATGTCCTGTTATGTGATCCCATCACATCTCGTTAGGTGATTTGCATCGTCCGCCGGCGAGAGCGCAGGGTGCGAGCGAAACTGCCTGCAAACGGACGTGACCGTGCTGAGGGCACAAGCTCAGCTGCTAAACGCTTGATCTATGACGGCCTATTACATGGCTCCGGATCCCCGGCCCTGTCTCTCGCCTCGCGTCTGACGTAGCCATAGCTAACTACGTAGCTAGTTCATTTTACCTCAACTTTTGCAGTCAATAACAACGGACTCACATTTGCCTTGGTGACAGCGAATCAGCAGTGGTGGGAAGAGCTTGCTGCGCACCTGGACATGCAGGCAGTCGTATACTGTAGAGTCACCAGAACTGCAGGAGCATGACGAAGAGGGACGACTGTCAGTTTGGACTGAGGGAGTAGGTAGACTTGTGGAAGGATGCGAGACTTTTTAATCGGAAGGATCGGGCAATGAAGCGGAGTTTTTGCCACCGAATATGAGTTAGTGGGGGTAACTGAACAATGCAGTGTACGTCAGCCGGCCTCCACGGCTAAGATTCGCTAGGGTGCTCATGCGAGTCGATGCGAAGACCAAGACGAATATTATGCGAGCATTGAGACGAGTGGCCGTAGTACATACACACAGCACATGCATGCAGAACGATCCGAGAGCGCGGACGATGTTCAAAATACGCGGGAATTTCGCGCGCAACACGCATGCGCACCTAGCTCGCTAAAGCGTCGATCATCACACACAAATAAAATCGATACAGCGTATATATAAAAAAGGGTGTGTCAAGAAGTGTGCTACAGTTTTGGTGGAGCTAGCTGCAGTGTGACACTTGGTTGCTGCAGCATGTGTGTATGCATAGAGGGAGAAAAGAAAAAGATAATTATTGATCAGCTAACCGTTAAAAAGCCCTCTGGCTACAAGTCCACGTACAATATCTGGGTTGCTCTTGAAAGACATGTTGAGTCTCCTGAGCTTCTCTCTCTGGACTGGATCCAATCCAACCTGCTCCCGTACCTGACACGGAGAAGGGAGAGAGAGAGAGAGAGTGTGTGGGAGGGGTATTGGTAGTGAAGGTGGTATATACTTACTGATCTCTGGGCCTTGAAACTTCTTCCTCTATGTGGTCCCTGAGTAGTGTGTGAGCACAGAGAAATATGCAGTGATAGAGGAGAAAGAGGAAGGGAGACTAACGGCCATTGTCTTTGTTCTCCCTCGTCCTGGAAGATGAGCGGGTGTCTTGTGGCAGACGATGCAGCTGTGATTCAGGTGACCCGGGTCATCAGTATCCAGTCCCAGACACGAGGCGTGATAGAGATGACCACAACTGAAAGAAGGAGAAACAAAAAACACCACAATTCTGGGGTAGCTATAATTTTAAAAAATATGATCATCTCAATTTGCACACTTACACTACTGCAGAACGAGCCGGTGGGTGGTGGGGGCGTATTATTATTATTTGCATGCTGCTATATGTCCAGACAGCTGCATGCATGCAAGAGCATGTACATGTATCGTACTACATGTCCACCTGAACACCACGACATCATCCTTGGAGCCGTCTGCCAGGCAGTCTGCCGGCCTGCTGCATATGACACACTGCCTGGAATGAGGGGAGACCCCTTGCTGAACAAGTGCACACAGGTTGTCCAGAGACTGGCACACGTCGTGGATCAGTATGTGGTTTGTCTTCTTCAGCAGTGTCTGCATGACACAACAATTGCAGTATAATTATACCAGCTACTATGTATAATTTTGCCATACTACAGGCTACTATAGTATGGAAGCCTGGTGTGGAATGGAGGCTATGGTTAAAGCCGGGACACTTGCGGAACGACCGAAGCAGGCAATATAAACACTAGCACAGTATTATACATACACATTCAGATTCTACTGCACCATATGGTACATACATTGAGAGAGAGCATCATACAACACAGCGTATATATACGTATATATAATGCCATGCCACAAATAACTGTACGCGGCACCTCCTCATAGTTGTATGTCTCCAGAATCCCCATCATGAGCTGTTTGATGTCCTTGAACTGGTACGACGGGTCCTACATACAGTAGTACTCAGAATCACATTTTGTACACACAACGTGTGCCCAATACAAACTGTATCAACAGACGTGCGTATATACGTAGAACTGGATTCTGCATTCAGATTGAAATGTACAAGTTGTTCGCTTCACTGAAGTATGTACGTGGGCACGGGCCATGTATGCTGTATGTGTAACACCCAGAGCAGGCAACAGTGCACTGCCCACGTTAGTCCAGGCAGACCACACTGTACATACATACATACGTGTATACCTGGATAATCTTTTGAAGAATGTTCTGTAGGCTCACGTAGCCCAGCATGGCATTCAGAATGTTCCCTATCATGGTGTTGTACACTGCAAAATGGCATACTATTATAGTGTTTCACTAATGTTCCCTTTCATTCAGGAGGAGGCAGTAAGATAACGACACTCATGTCTATACACGTTAAGACCCTGTACATGTATGTATATATAGCGACTTAATGCTTTTGAACGTACATCACATGCAGGTATAATACAAGGTTGGCACTTCAACCGTACTGCATGGTGGGCGTATAAACACCTGACGTTACACATACAGTTGTCCATTGTCCACTCTTGTCAGTGGGTTTCGACTCACATTCCATGAGCCGCTTATTCCGCGAGTCCTTGTACTTTCTCTGGAGGTCGTGGACTCTGTCGAATGTCGGGAACCACAGCGCCTGCACGGGGCGGGTGGGGAATTAGGCACGAAACAAAACCCTTCCATGAAATAGCAGGAAAAGGGGGGAGAGAGGAGATATGGATTTACCCTACCTGTCTAGACTTGTCTTTGCTGGCAAGTTTGCTGGAGTTTCGCTGGCAGAAGGTCAGCAGTGCCGTGAGTATTCCTTCCACTCGTTCGATCCAGCTGCCCATTTCTAATGGCACACACACACACACACACACAGTGCACGCATGCAAGGACAGGGGGGGAGCAACAGGTATAGACGTGCAGACTACAACATTACACAACAGATTACATGCTGATAACATGCACGCACACAGGCTTGTATAGACGATGTACAGTGCGTGGTGAAAAATGTAATCATGTTCATGTCACACACATGCGGGACCTTTGTCTGCGGCATCCGTGATGTCTTGGCGATAGTATCTCTCGCTTAGCATCTGAAGCTCCTTCCCCAGCGTCTGAAAGGCCGCGAAGTTCGAGAGAAGTAGGAAAGGGAGAGGACAGGGTGCGAGGATGGAGGAGTAGCAGTGTGTGTGTGTGTCAAAGATGGAGAGAGAGAAAGGAAAATAGTGGGAGGAAAGACATGCGGGGAGAGAGGGGGAGAGGGAATTCCGTTACATGCAAGTGAGCATGGCTACTCATCCACACCAAACGTAGCGTGTAATAGGCAGTGATATGTGCTGGTTGGACGTGTATGCTGCGCAATGAATAAGCTAATGGTGTGGTGCAGCAGTGGCAGCTGGGGGACGGGTCACACGAGCCGTTGGACAGTAAACGGCAGCCGGGTTGCGGCTCACCTCGCGGATGAGTTTGAATGCTCCCAGTAGGTCTCCACTCCGCTCCAGTAGGTAGGCAGTGGCGTCCATCAGCTTGGCCTTTGAGCAGACCTATTCACAGTGAATGCTTTAGAGGCAGCCATAATTGTATTGATCAAACCATATACATCCAGAACACAGACCACTTAGCCTACCAACCTGGACAGTGGCAGAGCCCGCGCAATTCCCCAGATGCAATCCGGGATCGGGACTCCTGAATGCTAGCTAATGGCACAGCTTCCCTAACTCTCACATATAATATTGTATCCTTTAACCAGCACTAGAAATTTTCATTTGCTGTACGCGTATGCATCCAGTAATGCAATACAGTATGTATAGGACTGGAGCTATGGTTGCAAACGTCATAAGATTACACTACTGCACACACAATTTCGTGACAAGAGACAGCTATATAATTATGGGACATTGACGGTGACCAAGCAATTGGGTAAACCACCTCTGAACATACAGAGGAGGCTGTAAATTTGAGTTCCTTGCAGAACGCTTCAAAATGCCACACCAATAATATAATGCGAGCGTGTAATTTTATAACATTCCTCCTCCAAATCTAGTGAATGATTCTTACGTCCAGAGCCTCTTCGACGCGATAGTTGTCGTTTGAGTGGAGAAAGCCGTAGACTTCCTGGGGCTGGTAGCGACAGAGGAGGTCGATGTAGCGCTCCACTACGTGAGTCGGAGTGCCAGTCTCCTGTCTGCTGGCCTGTCTGTGTGTTTGTGCGTGAGAGAGAGAGAGAGAGAGAGAGTGTGTGTGTGTGAGAGAGAGAGAGAGAGTGAGTGTGTGTGAGAGAGAGAGAGAGAGAGAGAGTGTGTGTGTTTGTGTGGTGCACACAAACACAGTAATCTTAGGCAGACATGTCTTTCTTTGCTTCCACGGAGGGTCTGAGTACCCAAAACTTGCATTGCAATTTGAGCGGACGTAAGACACACAATTTACAAGTCTATACAGGCTCTTCAGGCGTCCCTGTAACGCACACAAGAAGTCGCAGAGCAAACGAAAAGTGTGAAATGTGTGTGTGTGTTCAATAGAGAGTATTAGGTGAGTTTCAGCTCACTTGGGATCAAAGATGCCCTGGAGAAAGACGAACTGCAGCTCCGGGGTTGGCTGGAGTCTGTGAGTGATCTCCGACAGCTCCAGAGGAAAGTCCATTAACACCAGACGAGCTGCACCTGCCACGTCTGCCTCCACCAACACCTGTGTGTGTGCAGCACATCACCATCATCACCATAATAGCGAGAAGACAGAGAGAGGCGGTAACGTGATACGCGGCACCAAGCATAATTTGGGGATCAATAGATGCATGCAGGGTAACACACAGTTTCGTGATCTGTACAAAACGTATGCTGCATTGAAAAAGTAAGTATTAAACATGTCCAACACTGCCACATAACAAAATCCTTGTAGGAGCTAGGGCCGTGATTAGTGGATGGATTACTGAGACAATACACGGAGGAAAGAGCTATGTATAGGGCTGCGAATGGGACAATAGAAACAGTTGGTGGTACCTGGAACTTGTCGAGCATCGCTCGAGACACTTCCTCGCGGTCAGGTTCCGTGTACTGGTCCTCTGTCATCACGGAATGGACGTACGAGAACGCCTGGTGCTGCACCGGAACGGGGGAACGGCAGTACTGCAGGATTTGTAATTACACCAACGAGCAGGGTCTCACCCTTCGGTTGGGGTCCCGCATGTAGCAGGAGAGAACTTTGCCAAACTGTCGTCTCTTTTCGTAGACCAACTCGCACAGCCGATAGCTGCACGGACGTGAACACAATCACAACAGGGGGGACAACTGCAGGATATACAGTACGTATGTACTACTAGCACAAGAGGGTGAGTATGGGATCCAGCATTGCCTTTACGTCTACTGATGTATTTAAATTGCTAGACAGTGCGAAGAAAAGAATGCGTACACAGCTAGAACAAAGTGTACTTTTCCATGAACTGAAAGGGTCGAGCTCTCATACAAAATCTATGCAGCCATGGGCCTGTCAAAACTATCTATAAGGATACCCTAACACGAGGAGTATAAATTTCTCAACGATTACAACACGAATAGACTACAACTGTTGGGTGCTCACAATCTGGCAGCCTCTGCTCGAACTAACAGCTTCTCCTCGTCAAACTTCTTGAGGACCCCAGCATGCCAGAGTTCCAGGAGGGCCTGTGAGAGCATACATACAACACCTCAGTAAAATACGTCCTCACGTTTATGTAGCTGATATATACATACGTACGTGTGCATTTGGGTCATTTGTGCACCAAATTTTCTAGCATTCCACATGTAGCTACTGGTCGTACCAAAAATTGCGCTGCACATATTCAAAAATATGAACTGTATCGAGAAACTTTAAACTTTATGCCACAGCAAATTTCTACTTGCTAATCCTACAGTACGAATGATCCCGACCCGTAAAAAACATTTACAGAGAAAACCTGCGATCCTCAAAATGTGACATTTTTCTCCCTTCAATGCTTCCCACTGTATGGTACACGTACTTCAACGTTTACGACACACATACACTGGGGGCCAAATGAACCCCCCCTAGGGGCCAAACAACCACCCCGAGGGCCAAATGAACCCCCCTTGGGTGCCAAACAACCACCCCGGGGGCCAAATGACCCCCCCCCCCACTAATGCAGCAGCACACCCTGTGGCCAGACCTGCTGTCTCTCCTCGTTGACGATGTCGACGTCTGTGTGGGTGATGTAGTTGAGGACCTGGTCGTATATGGTCTCCTCCACGTGGATACTGGTCCTGTACTTTGCCCCCTGCCTTGCCAGGAACGTGAACAGGGACCCCACCTGGGACGGCTGTGGGGAGAGCACAGTAAGGATGCCAGCTGTCTATATAGTTGCCAAGTCAATGCCTACATGTAATACGGAGATGGAGCTATTATTTCATTTCTGTCCAACCATCATGTTGTGTGTGGATGAAGGGTCTTGCGATCACTACACACTACGTGGCGTATAGTACATGTATTTACAGTGTTGATACGCTAAATTTTACATGCGACACTACGTTATACTATATTATACCACATGCGAAACGTTTGCCAAATACATATGTCACTTTCGGGCTTGGTTTTTTCATAATTACAGCTGCCAATATTTCTGGTCACAGCATCAGTACAGGTAAAAATTGGGGGGTGGATTCAGTGTGTGAGATAGATTTGGTGGCTCACGGAGAAGGTGTGGTCGGCTCCCTCTCCCACCATAACCTCCAGCAACACAGACACCACCTCTTGCCTCGTGGGAATCCCAGGAGGAGGAGGTGACCTGCGGAGAGCAGTAGAGTGGGGAGGGAGGTCTCTGTTATTTTCAAAGAGCATGTAAATTGTGTAAATTTTCAGAGCATGTAAATTTTCAAACAGCGTGTACATTTTCATTCCCACTCAAAAAACCTCTAACGGTATGTATGGAGAAACATTTGCAAATGGGTCTCAAAAACCCCCAAAAATCTTGAATGTTTTTTCATACATATGTACATACATGTGTTGGTGTAATGTCAGCAAAAAAATTCATTATGTGTTGGCGTATAATGTTAGCAATATGTAAGTTGACTCACTGTGACATGGCGACATCAAAGTCGGGTTCTTCGAAGGCCTGGAAGAAGAGGTGAAATTATACAAGTCCTTTTGGCAGAGTTTAGACACGTCGCGCGCATGTGTGTGTCAGTGAGTTAGTTTGTGTGCGTGTGTGTGTGTGTGTGTGTGTGTGTGTGCAGGCTACTCGACAACATTGGCTACATAGGCTATGCAAGACGGGAGAAGGGTGTGTGTGTGTGTGTGTGTGTGTGTAGGTGACAACCTGGGCATAAGAACAACAACGCCTCAGCAGACAGACAAATAATAACGGTTGAGCTTGGGAGCTTTCAAAACAGTGCATTAACCAGGGGTTACAAGAACCGCGTGCGTCCTTTGAGTGATGTTAAAGGTTGGGTGGTTTGATAACAGGCAATGCAAATGCATGTGTGACCACCGTGTCAGGGGTTCATTCAGGGTCTTTAGGTGAACATTTTAATGCACATGGATGCAGGGTTTTGCGTTCCCCCTTGGATAAAATTAGGCATGTGTGCACAGGTCACAATGTATGGCGGTGTCTGGCTCACCAGTGCCAGAACGTTGAGGAATTCTCGAGTGTCAAAGTGAAGCAGAGTGTGAACGTGGGGGTATTTCTCCTTGTCGTTGTGGTTGTGGGTGTTGGTGGGGGCCAGCAGCACTTCGTACACCTGGAGGAGAGAGGAGGGGGAGGGGGAGGGGGAGGGGAAGAAAAGGAGACGTGACTTGGCAAGATGGAAGAGATGTGGGGAGGTAATCTACCGAAGCTTTTGCCAGTTGTTGCTCCTCTGAGGGTAGTTTTCCCGACGGATAGCCCAGTCCACTGGCACAGCACCTAAACACACAGAGATTCACCAAAACTCGCACACCACCAGTGGGAAAACAAACACAGGCCGTGCGTCTTATACATACCTGACATACACCAGAAGTTTGTATCCGAGCTTTTGAGCATCACCTGCAAACAGCGACAAAAAGCACACAAGTTTTAGTGGTTGTATTGTGTTTGGTTGAGCGCTCCTCATACATACTGTACGTGCCTTGCACTACCTACACATACAATACCAATGGTTAAAATTCTTCCCCGGCCCTCTATCTCTCAGCACAGTACAGACATAATACGTATTTCTGGGGGTCAATGGCCATATATATTAAACCCAGTTGGTAGAGAGAGCAACAAGGCTCTAAGGTTGGGTAACTGGACAGTTCTAAGGATGATAAAGAACTATGGTGAGTGGGGGCTGACATCTTACTGGGTATATTCTTGTCTCCGGTCTTCTTGAGAGTGGCTCGTAGCTGGAGGAGGAGCTCCAGGAGTGGTGTCCCATAGTCATGGAGACTGCGGTTGTGGACGTGGATGAGTCCGTCGTACAACTGCTGCTGTAGACATATCTCTACCACCTGCCCTCCATCACACAATATCATATATAGGGAGGAGGAAGAGGAAGAGGAGGAGGAGGAAGAGGAGGAGGAAGAGGAGGAGGAGGAGGAGGAGGAAGAGGAGGAGGAGGAGGAGGAGGAGGAGGAAGATAGAATAGGAGGGAAAGGAGTACCAGTGAGCACACTATAACCTAATTTTACTCGCGAAAAACATTTTTACAGTTTGGCATGATTAAAACGTATTTTTTCACAAAGTTTTAAGCTACACAAGACCTGGTGTATATCAAGACACTGTGGCAATATCTGCAGAAAACACTTTTCCAACAGTTGATAGTCGCCCTTCTGGGAGTAGTGACCTGCAGACAGAGGACGAGAGAGAACATAAACTGATGTGAGGAGATTGTTCACCCTCACTGATCAAGTCTTTGACGATGAGCGTGCGGATGTGTCGTATCTTCCCCTCCGTGATGTAGCCGCAGAGGTGTTCCAGGAACACAGACCGACTGAGATCGTCTTCGCTCCGGAACGTGTCGTAGATACTCGTGTACAGGAGCTCCCTGGACGAGAGAATTGGAGGCGGTCAGAGGGGGAGCTACATGCAGCAGTTGAGTAACACTCACTGTTTCTTTATCTTGAGGCACACGTCAAACGCCCATTTTACCAAAACCTGCGATTTGTATGCATAGACGCATTGGAACAGTACGTAGTTTACTGTAGATGTACACACCTTGTAGTGTCTGCGTAATTCCCTCTCTCCGCCTGCACTGGGTTTCTGCATCATGACCCCCATGTCCACGTACCCCTTTAGAATGTCCACCAGCTGTGGGACACGGTCACACGCACGCACAGCTCTCTAAAGGTCAGGAAGGTCAGGAGGGTATTACGTAACGTTGTACCTCTTCGGCCACTTGTTCTCGTCTCTTCTTTGGAGGTCCCGACAGACCTGAGTGTTGGTAGAGAGAGAGAGAGAGAGACTCTCCGTGTCATCCCCTCTCACTACTCTTGTCTTTCACACTCTCCCTCCTCTTCCTCCTTAACACCCTCACACACACTCTACGCATCCTTTGCCAAACTCTCTAATAATTCTCCACCTCCTTCTCCTTCACCCCCTCTCAGCTTCGTACCCCCTTTTTTCGATAACCTGGGCAGATTGCTTCCTCCCATACACTTCCCCCCCTCCACACACACACGTCCTCCCAACACTCACCAACAACTACTGTCACCAGGGTTAACTTCTCCCTCTTCTTACTTTAATTTCTCTCTCACTCCGGTCCCACACCCAGACGCTCACCAACAACAGCTCTGGCCTTGTTCTCATAGAGGTCCAGTCCCAGTTGAATGGCCTCGTCCATTCTGTTCTCTCTCACCAGAATCCTCAGTCTCTACTCACAGAGAAACAGTGGTGAGGGTAAGAGATAGAGGAGAGAGAGAGAGAGAGAGAGAGATAACCAACTGATGGCAGAGTTAAAGAGGGAAAACCTGAATCAAGTTATACAACGTACCTCTTTCCACGTTTTGATGGTTACCACATGTACAGCCTGTGGACGGAAAAGAAGTTCGTGCGGTAAAACTCGAGATCTGTGCATACATACTACATACCTTCAGTCCCAGGACAAAAAGTCTACTGTTATGGCTCACAACTGAATTATAGCACGCATGTTCACTGCCGACAATCTAGTGGGAAAAAACACAAAAGACTTGTTTGAAACAGACTCATTATTCTGTGAGTGGCATCAACCAACAAAGAAATGTAACAAGTGTCACCCAACCAAGGAAACAGAGAGAGAGAAGAGAGAGACTCCATTGTCTGTGTTAGTCTCACTCAATGAAGTAAGAAGAAATCACTCAATTCGAGGTAAGAAGAGAAACTTAGTGTCACCCAATGAAGGTTAAAAAGAGAGAGATAGTCATTATGGTGTTAGTTTGACCCAATGAGGTAAGAGAGAAAGTAAGAGAGAAAGAATTTAGTGTCGCCCAAACAAAGAACGAGAGAGGTTCCATTGTACACAACAAGTTAGAACTAAAAGAAGAGGAGAGGAGGACGAACCAGGGCCTTGCTGACGTTGCCGCCGGTCTCGATGGACTTGAAGAAGGAGGAGTTGTAGACGAGCTCGAGGTGGGCCATGTCAAACACCTCCACCTCCCTGTCGTCCTTCACACTCAGGAGGTGGGCGTTCTCCTTGGGGTCCAGTGCCGCCACAGTGTACGCATCCACCCACTGGCAGGGGAGAACAGAAACTAGAAACTATATACAATATACACTTTGTGTGAACAACTGTAAACGTTGAGTTGGCGTCTTTGAAGTAACATTATAAAATGTGTTGTATTGTCAAAGTAGAGAGTATATGTATATACATGTACAGATATGGAATGTAGTCTATACTGTGCTGTGGTTTGCTGTACCTGGAATGCCATAATCTCGAACGGAACTTCAATTTTGCGCAACAGCTTGAGAACTGGCTGGCCTTTATCGCCCACCGAGCACTGTAATATGTGTACATACAGTAGGTACATACAGTAGTGAGAGAGACGGTACGACTGGACAATGTTGGATAATTCACCTGAACGTAGTTGATTGTTCGCTCCCTCACGGCCGCTAAAACCTGTGAAACAAACCGACTACACGACCGACAAAATGCTGGGTCTCTCTCTGGCTCACGGCGTCCGTGGTGGTGTAGACCTTGCCTCCCGCACGGTGCTCTATTACCACCAGATTCCAGGCCAGTTGAGGTAGGTACTTCGCACTGCCCTGTCAACACAGCATACATAGTGTGGTACAAATACTGCCGTATGCAAAACAATGGAGGGAACTGCTTGTGTTCCATGCCTCCAGTAACAAGTCAGTAGAAAGAGTATGGACCATTTGGCACGAGCACTACATAGTGAGATGCTACATACACTTCGAACAAAGCTCTACATGACAGCAGAAGTGTAGAATACAGTAGAATGCATAGTAAGTGAAGGCTATTTAGCAAAGTGAGACTCCTAGTCATCCGAATTTTGTGCAACTGTACGTAGTACAACATGCGATACGATGTGGCACAAAGTGTGTCCTCACCTTGAGGGGCAGAGAGGTGATGGGTTCGATCTTTGGAGTGAGAGCCACAAAGATGACCTGGGTCACCGAGGCAATGGCGAGCACAGAGAACATCGACAGCTGGGAGTCTTCTCCCATCAACAGCGGTTCAAAGGTCAACGCTTCTCCGTGGCTACAGACACAATGTCGGGATACTGTGATGATGTCACCACGATCTGACTGGCTAACCATCCAGAGAAGAAGCATTCTGAGGTCCAGTTTCTACCAACAATGGTCCTCCTGTGAACACACACAGAATCAGTGAAACTTGGTGCACACAAAACCACTATAAAGCTTCATGTCCAATACTCCACTAGAGTCTGCAACGAGACCAGGATTTCTATTCCCAGCTGCGTACATTATGTCTGAGAGACAAACACAACATGATTCTACCAGTGTCTGTTCGCAGAATTATGCATCATTTCACGTCACAGACTCCAGCAATGCATACACATACATGTACATATGTAGTGTGAACCGTGCCTGCACAGTTGCTCACTTGAACTTGAGCAGAAAGAGGTTTCCTCCGGTGTTGTTGAACAGGGCCAGTGTAGGATCGTCCAGAAACTGTGCAACCATGCACGGGAGCGATGGAGAGAGCAATGAAATAGAACCACGCACTAGTGACATATACAGCGGAGTAACTGCATGCTTTCGAGGCAGAAAAAACAAATTTTGTGCGTTTTTCAGGATTTGAGGGCCAAGTTTAATCTCTGTGAATTTCACGAGCAGGGTCTTTTTGCGTGACAAACCAAGTACTCGCTGCAAAGGTTTTCTCGTCGCAAATTCTTTTATGCCATCGAATCAGGAACGTTTTCTCCCTGGAGAGTTTCCAACGAGATAGTATAGACTAGACTCACTCGCACTCTCAGGACACCAAACCCGGGAGGATGGGCATCTGTGATGAAACGGAGACACTTGTAGCTGGTCAAGTCCCAGTGGGTTATCTGAGAATAGAGGGAGAGAGGGGAGATTATAATTAAGATGTCGCCGTTTTACAATGTCAGCACGGTTAGAAGGGAGGGAGAGGGGAGAAGAAGTGAAAAAAGAGGAAGGAAGACCCTATGCAGCACAGATAGGAGACGGGTGGGCAAAGTACGGCTCACCAAGCCTTTAGCGTATCCACAGATGAGTCTGGTACTGTCAGAGCTGATGTCCACAGCTGACACAGCACCATAGAATCCCACTGCATTATGATAATGCATTAACACTTTTATGAACCAATCGTGGACAGTTTGAAAACGTTCCACAGTTTAAGATGAAGTTTAGTAATACACCACAGCTTGTCCCTGTTATAGAAGCATATTACCTATGTACCATGCAAAGCTTGCCCCACTGCTATATAATTGGCCTAGTGGCATGCTTGTGGCCATTCCTTGCACCACACCCCCTTTTCTGTGGGTGGAGCATGGGGCGGCATAGACAAACCAAGAGAACACAGAGCTTGCTAAGTACTCACAGTTGATTCCTGGTCCGCCCTTCTGGTAGGGGTTCAGGACTGACTTCAACTGCTGCTTGGAATCTGAACAAACAACATTCCGTATTGTGTACATGTTGTATGGACATACAGGCCACACCCACTCAGTGGGAAATATTGGCGACCATTAAATTCGGCGAGATTCCTTCCCCAAAAGTACCCCATATAAACAATGGGGTATTGCATGTACTAGCTGCTCAAAATTTAGGTAGGCATACATTAATTTGGCAATTCCAAGCGCTACCGATGAACCTCCAAATTGCCACCAATTATTTTCTATCATAATAATATCATAAAGCGGTGAATCTCTCATACCAAATATGAGGACCAGTCCGTGTGATGTTCCGATGGCAAAGCATCCACGAACAGCCTATAAAAAGTACACCAATAGGTTGACGCGTATATAACACAGGAGAGATGGACTGCTGTGTATATTATCTTAGGCTGGGTTCATAATATGTCGCATTGCCCCGTCGTGCCATGCCACTTTGTCGCGAGGATAGAACCCATTTCTATCTTCGCTGTACCACGCGATGCGGCATGGCGCGACGGGGCAATGCGACATAGTGTGAGCCTGTAGCCTTACCATCACTGTGGGAAGACCGGCCTGATTGTGTAGCTGGGGGAAAGAGAAACAACACTCCTCAATAGGGAGAAATTGAGAAATATTATATCAGAATGCAGTGTAGGGGGTGCTCACGGAAGCCTGGGAGAGCTGGTTGGCAATGCCCGGCAAGATCTCCTGCCTCAGAATAGCTCCCTCCGTGGTCGTGAGGTTTACTGACTGCTGCTGGGACCTGTGTGTGTACAGGTCAAGGGTAAAATTCTGAAATCTGATTGGTCTATATTATAGTAAAAATTTTCAAGTCATGAATATATTTGCCAGTGACAGCAGTCAGATGCTACAGTTCAGGTCCAGGACTCACAGTTTTCTAAATTTACGTAGTTTCCCTGAATTAACTATGCTTGTGTCTGTATAGGCTTAGGGGGTGTGTACATAACAATGATGATACATCATCACTACTCACTAGACAAACACTACCATCATACTCCAATCTCTTTGAAAGTAAAAACGATTGTACAGTTCAGCGGTATACCTGGGGGGAGGTCCGTCCATGAATGCAGATGGAGGCAACAGGTCTTCTTCCGACTCCTGCAGGACGTCTGTCAGATCTAGTTCATCCACCGTTGCCAACCTATGCTCTCCCTCCTGCGAGAGGAGGGAGAGAGGGGGGTTGAGGGGAACAGTGAGAGAGGAAGGAGAGAGGAGGAGGGAGAGAGGGAGGGAGAACGGAACAGTGAGAGAGGAAGGAGAGAGGAGGAGGGAGGGAGGGAGGGAGAACGGAACAGTGAGAGAGGAAGGAGAGAGGAGGAGGAAGTGAGGGAGGGAGAAAGGAACAGTGAGAGAGGATGGAGAGAGGAGGAGCAAGAGATGAGGAAGAGAAGGGGGTGGGAGAGAACACTCGCGATGAAGGAGTTTTTGTTATGCAGTTGTCGCATTACCCCTTTGAGGATGTCCTCCAATTTTGGCTCATACTCCAGTGTCGGGATGTCAGGTTCGAAGCTAACCTGCGGATAATTGAAGAGAGAAAATCCAGAATCGGTCTCTCTCTACGTAAAGAACCCAGAACTTTTACGACTACGTCACCTCTGAGGAGTTCAAGATGGACGCGAGCTGCTCGGCGGCCTTGTGGCTGGCGCTGGCCAAAGTATTGAGCTCCATAGATGCCGCGGTGACCCTGCTCGGAGCTAGAGAGGCCATGGGACTCTAAACCGAAGATCTACTAGCGATTTAGCTGAAAAATCCAGCAGGGTGTCTCTGCTTCTATTTATCCGCAAACAAGCCATAAACATTTTCAGCACACGTAGCCCCGCCCCCATAAATAAGTGCGCATGCGCACGAAGTATGCGACTTCTCCGGCTCCCTTCCTAGATCCTGGCAATGAAGTCTGTGAACCTCTGGTGGCTCTGTTTCGTCGTGTTTCATGGCTCGTCGAGAGTTTACACAAGCGCTGAAAAACCCAATATCGTCATTTTGTTTGCGGACGACGTAAGTACAATAGTGTCTGTAGCTAGCACTGGCCGAGGCGATCCCTGCGCCCGCGGTCTCTGTTCGTCCTCCAGTTAGGCTGGGGAGACATCTCCTACTACGGCCACCCTACCTCCTCCACCCCGCACCTGGACCAGCTCGCCAGAGAGGGCATGGTATTCACTCAGTTCTACTCTGCAGCTCCAGTCTGCAGCCCGTCCAGGTAGCTAGCTAGCTAGAAACTTTCCTCCCGGGTTCACAAAGTCTAGCATTTATTACCCTTTGACTCCAGAGCTGCTCTGATGACCGGGCGGTATCAGGTGAGATCCGGGATCTATCCAAAGGTCCTTTTTCCCAACAGCATTGGTGGTGAGTATAGCTAACAGATTTTGCTGGCCCTCCCTCTGCCTTATCTCCTCTCCTTCCTCTCCACTATTCCTGGCCAGGACTGCCCCACAATGAGACCACGCTGGCTGAGCTGGTGAAATCCGTCGGCTACAACACGCTCACCTCGGGAAGTGGCACCTCGGAGTTGGAGAGAAGCAACAGTACCTACCCACCACCCAGGGCTTCGACTACTACCTGGTGGGACAAGAGACTCACTATACACACCTCCTACATCTCCACGGGTGCTCTTTTTGTTGCAGGGCGTTCCGTATTCCACCGACATGTGTCCGTGCGTTACCTGTTTCTACCCAGACGTCCAGTGCGCTCCACCTGGCTCAGAGGAGAGCTGCAATGCTAGTGAGTCTGAGAAAGTCTATACTCGTTTTTGAGAGATCGGTTGAAAGAGAGCGCTGTGGCTAATAGAAATGGTGCCGTGTCCGCTGGTGGAGAATGACACCATACTGCAGCAGCCGGCCGATCTGCTCACTCTCACCGAAAAGTACGTACAAGCGGCCAAATCCATCATCAAAACTAACGCCGGTAGGTGAACAGACTCAACAATGTTGCATAGTATGATGTTCTCTTGTAGATCAGTCTCAGCCGTTCTTCCTCTACTTTGCGTTCCAGCACACGCACCAGCCCCAGTTTGCCTCAGAAAAGTTCACCAACTCGACCCTGCGCGGACCGTTCGGTGACTCTCTGGCCAACCTTGACTGGGCTGTTGGAGAAGTCATGTCGACGCTCAAACTCTATGGCCTCGACGATAACACTTTCGTCTTCTTTACCTCAGACAACGGGTGAGCCTCTCTCCAAAACCTTATGACAAAGTGGTGCATTGCAAGCACGGAATATGCATGGTTGAAGGCGTGTGTTCACACAAACCTATGCAGGCCTGCTCAGATTCATGAGCGGAGAGGTGGCAATGCAGGCCTCCTGCGCTGTGGGAAGGGCACCACGTGGGAGGGAGGAATGAGAGAGCCAGCCATTGCCCGATGGCCGGGAAAAATCAAGCCAGGCAAGACAACCGAGGTATGTATGTATATGATATATAGCCAGCCAGTAAAACTAATAGCTCCCACACTTACGTACTATATCTGTCACTCTCAGCTTGCAGCCACTATTGATCTGTTCCCGACTATCGCGCGACTCACAGGAGCTGCCATGCCCAACAATGTCACCATCGATGGGATAGACATGTCGCCTTTCCTCTTTGGAAACGGCACGGTACGATACAATACTTCCTCCTCTGTCCCTACGACGTGTGGTATTGAGATATATACGTACTACAGAGTGATCGAGACTACTATGTCTACTACTCGACTGAACCAGTCTCTGAGATGGGACCGGCCGCTGTGAGGTGGACACACTACAAGGCCCACTTCCATTCCAAGGGGTGTGTGTACATTAACAAGTCAAGTAGTGGAAATTGTGCCATTGATCTATGGTAGGAATGAAACCTTACACACTCTCAACACCACCAAATTGTTGATGTCGCAAAGTTAATGATGCAGTAAGGTTCACAAGATTGTTTTGTTTTTTTGCATAAAGTGTCAAGATCAAGAATGTTTGTAGGCCTAATCTATGACTTGAAAGCTGCTAGTCAAGGCCTATCCCTAATGATGATCTCGCCCTGTGCAGTGGACTGAGTCCCGACGTGTACCCGGACGAAGTCTGTCGTGCCAACTACCCTCTCCACTACTATGATCCTCCTCTCCTCTACGACCTGAACCAAGACCCTGGGGAGATCTACAACCTCAAGCTGGACGAGCACGTTCAAGTCATGGAGAACATTGAAAAGGTTCACCAGCTTCGTATTGTGACAGCACCTCAATATTATGTGGTGGTCTGGGTAGCTATCATGTGTTTTGGGTGCATAAGTACGAAACAACAACAGAGAAAGTGACAAACGGTTTGGTGAGGTTTAAAGGGGAGGAATCAGGACCTATTATGGTGTGCATCGATTGAGGTGGCCTGTACCATTCACCCTCAGATCAGAGACTACTTCCAGTCAACGGTGGTGTTTGGAGTTAGTCAGGTGGACAGTGGAGTCAGTGATGATGCCGAGCTCTGTGCCAAGCCGGGCTGCTCCCCCTTCCCCAGCTGCTGCACCACTAAAACTCCTTCCTCCCACTGGGACACTTTCTATAGACCACATCCATGATTGATGAAACTTGATGTATATACAATGATTACTTTACAGAACCCAGAACCCTATTCTAAGTTTGATATCTGTTTGTAGTATATAATAATTATAGTGTTTGTCCAGCTAGCTGTGGTAGATGTCCAGGTAGGTGTTGACTATTTGAACTCTGAGACAGAAGGAGGTCATGTGTGTGTCAGAGCACTCTCCACTCTCGTCTGCTGCCACTCCACCAAACATGGCATTAAACTGCACATAAAAAAAACGCAACCAAGTAAAACATCACACCAAAGATAGCCAGCTAGTGCTGGGGTGGCACTATAATATTATAGCTCTAGGACATTGGTAGAGAATGGAGGTAAAATGGGAGTGTGCTGTGTGCTATAAGGAAAGGTGTTCGTTGAGCTGTTGACTCACCCATGCACATGATGTCTCCTGCACTTTGTTCCCCACAGTCACCATGATCTCCAGTGAATCCAGCTGGCTTTGGCTGAGGTGGAGGAGCTGTGGCTGACTGTGGAAGAGTTTCTCGCTGCGTCTGCTGGCCCCCAGCACACGGCACACAGACCCGGCCACTCTGTACAACTCACTCTCGTTGTAGAGCTGCAGTGACTGGCTGAGCTCACCAGAGAAATCAACACCAGTCTGTGTACATGGTGCAGAGAGGGAGTCAATACACGCTACAGAGCTGCTGTAAAACTGTACATAGCTAACTGAGTTTGGGGCTCTTCAGCTACCAATGATAGGGAGTCAGCTAATGTTTCAGGAGCAGGGAATTGAGTGGGCAATGGACACATGGACTCACAATGTTCCTGATGTAGTCGTCTTGCACTGCTGCCTGTCCTGCTGCAGATGACAGAAAGGCTGACAGGAGAGCAAGGGAGAAGGAGATCCAACAGACAGTCATCCTGGCTGGAGTTAGTTATAGCTGCTGAGCTCAATGGGTTGATGATTGTTTGGTAAGAGCTGATGATGATGATAATGATGGACAGGAGGCACACAGCTGCTTTTATACACCATCTCTTGCTCCTCTTTCCTCCACTTTCATCATCACGATCATATTATGATGGTGAGTTTTCCCACTGGTTGCAAAACTCCTCTCACGGAAGCTAATACTGCCACTACAATGTAGGTATATACAGGTAATATGGAAAGTCCTCTGGCACACAGCTAATAATGCTGCATAGCTGATTGTTTATGTCACTTGGTGTCGGGGAGGCAGTGCGGGTCCCTATATAGTCCCGATTACCGACAGTATAAGGAAATAGACCTGCATATCTGGAACGTGTGTAATTCCTCTTCCCACCTCGTGGGGATTTGCTGGAACCGCCACGGGAGTGCTGGGTGTAACACAATATATGGCGCACCCACTCCAAGGTTCAATTCACTGTGCACCTTTGGAGGTTGGCACTAGCTACCACACTGATTCTCTGGGTATAATTATAATAATAAATATAAAATCGTCTTTGGGTATTAACCATTACTCCCTTCAACAGTGTTACAATGAAAATGACATCGAATCTAATGATATAGTGTTACAGTTTTCAGCATGTGCAATCATGCATGTAAATTTTGCTAGTCTGATTAATTAAACCTTTTATGGTTAACAATCATGTAAATGAAAGTTAACAATCATGTAAATGAACAGCAATACAATTATTGTACACATCGTGTTTAAACCCTGTTCAGCGTGTGTCCACTGGTGGCCTAGCTCTTCAAGCCAGTCGTCTCTTCAGAGACATACTTTATCGCTTGTATATAGCTCATCAAAATGTATGTGATGAATGCGGCATTGTACGTAGTATCATTTTGTCTACATGTCGTTGCTTAAAACTTTTTATTTCGAGAAAAAAGATGAAATTATAAAAGTGATATAGGACTATCTGGGACATGTAAACGATGTGTGAGATAAAAAAAGAGCTGCCTGTCGAAGTGATTGTTCATTTTCTGTCATAAAGGTCTATAATATGATTGGCCAGAGACTCGTCAAAGTTCTCCCTGACCCACTCGCGAAAATCTACTTCCACGTCAATCAAATCAAACAGGTCGTAGGACTCGGCATTCTGCAGCTCCCGGTCACAGAGGTAGTCGAGAGTGGGCTCAGAGCAGGTCCCATCCTCCAGAATGAGGTCGTACCCTGTAATCTCTTCACTGATCTGGATGGGTGGGAGATTCAATGGTAAATCATACGTCCAGTGTTAGCTTGGTAAAGAGCATCATAAGGGCCCGTGCAGCTCAGTCACCTTGTGGCATGTGATGGATCTCAAGTTGGCCTCGGTGACTGTAGAGTTACTGCCAGTGCTATTGTGTTGTCCCTGGAGGTTGAGAGCAGTGGTCACGTTCTTCCATAGCCTGCAGGCATTGTCCTATATCATACAGGAGAGAAAATAAGTGGATGATTCAGAGTCTATATATATGCATTCACTTGGCTACTAACCAGTGGGAAGTCCTTGGTGACAAAGAACAGGGAATTGACGTAGCCTTTGAGGTTCCTCTGGACATCGGCAATGTTGACGGGACTTTCTGTTGCATCTCTTGTGATTCGAATCGGCCACGCTCTCGACAGAGACACTGTTGCAGCCGCAACAACTGCTAGCAGAAGAATCTGTGGAACGGTTGTCTTTCTCTCGCAGTGTGCCATTCTCAGCTTTCCTGTGTGTGCCTTTTCCTATTAGAACTTCTGATCTGCTGTTGTTGTTGTGTTTGTTTCTGTCACCCACAACGGAGCTTTTATAGCAAGCCAGTCCACCCACACCTACTGAAACACCTTTCTTGACTTCCACACCTGTGGCAGTTTCCAAATCTACCGAGAATGTGAAATTGAATGTTTAGTTCCTTCCTTCTCCTTGTAGTTGGTTTGAATGTTTGTTACACTAATAATTATTGCGTACACAATTGGATTTTTTTATGGACTTCCCAACACTACAAGTATGCAAATCACATTGTGAATATCATTACCGTGGTTTACGTCATTCCAATCCGAACCAACTTACGTCATGCTAATAATTTAAACTCACACAAAGTTAATTTTATTAATAAATAATCAAACTGGTAAGTGAATGACATTCAGAGATGATTGTATTTTAAGGGGGAAAAATTGTGTGTCAATTAAAATATGAAAAACAGGTGCTGTTCAATGGTCCATGTAATCAATCGTACAAGCCTCATTGAGCACAATTAAAAGATCGTAAAACAGCTGATTTGGGGTCGGTCTAAGTAAAGTCACAGTAAAGGTAATGCCTGTGTATAGATGAAGTATAAATGTCCATGTATAGTGAAAGTTGTGGTAGCTGGATTGGTAAGGCTGTTAGCTGGGGAAGATGTGGGAGGCTTCATTGGAGTCATCGGTCGGTGACCTGGCCTGCAGAGTGCAGAGGGAGCCGTACGTGATGTAGGACTGGGTGGAGGCACCATTACCGTCACCACTGTAGCTGGTGGTGGTGAAATCAGTGTCACAACTGCTCACACCACTGCTACTAGTAGTCTGGCTACTGCTGTTAGCAATCTTGGTGGATGACTCGGTGTTGACATCTTCCTGCCCTGGTGGAGGTGATAGTAAAGTAGGGGGCTCTGGGGAATGGTTAGATACATGTCCATCGAGACTCTCGGCCTGTTGCGGGTCCAGGAAAATGCAGTTGTACTGTGTGTGAACCGAGTGGAGGGAGAGTTTGTCCAAGTCTTTGAGGAGATTGCCCTGTGAGATGTGCTGTACAGTGGATCAAATGTACATGTGCAAATAGGAAAATGAAGAAGGAAGAGCTATTTGTCAGCTCCCTCCTCCACAGTTCCATTACTCCCTAGGGGAACACACACACTACATTGTCTCCTAACTGTTAGGTGGAAACTGGAAGTCAGAGCTGTGTCAAGTCGTGGTGCTACGTGCCTTCATGCTGTGCCTTATACACCGGCCGGCTGGGACATGACTGTATAATTATGATGGAATTATCGTGCATTCATGAGGGGAAGACGATATGGCTACTGAAAAAGATTGTAATTCTCACACTGGCGCCAGTCCATGGGTCTGCATACCAGGACAGGTCTTTCATGTTTTTCCTGATATCCCTGTGTTGGTATATACATAAGAAAAAAGTAACCGGTTTGAGCAAAACAAGGTTAGACTAGAGTCGGTTATTAGATTAATCTTGATGAATTGCAGATGGTGAGAAATGGTGATTTTAGAGAGACAATTTCCCCCCAAAATAAGGAAAATGTATCAAGCAAGCTTACCTGGGCCTACCAATGACGACTTGGGTCACGTACAAGTAGCTGCCGGCAGCAGCAAAAGCAGCCACGAGCAGCAGTAGTGATGTGCCGAGAGCCCAGGCCCAGAAAGGCACTGTGGGTGTTCATGGAGAGGGAGTTAACAGCGCTGCTGTCTTGTGATAACAACATATGGCCAAGAGATGCTTGGTATGAATGGGCCACACCGGCATGAATATACACATCAATCAGAGTGATATTTATAGAACACACCGATCTGACTGGCAAACTAAACATCAGCAACATATCCGCACCGTGAGAAAAAACATGTTTTAGCAATTAGTAAGACAACATGTCGGCTATTATGGTCTTCTTGTACAGTGCAAAAATACATGTAGGCTCACACCGGCTCACACCACACTTCCCAATGTATGGGTTTGTTCAGTTACATGCACGATTCATACCAGTCTCTGAGCGTTGTGAGGAGGTAGGGCCACTGGGAGTTGGAGTTAGAATGGTAGAAGATGGCGTTTGTTTCCCTATAGACTGGCTGGTTATCACTGTGGACCTAGGCAAGCCAACCCCCTCATGAGAAGATGTTGAGGTCACTGCTAGTTGAGTGGTGGTGGGAGAGGGTGTTGGTTTTTGACCCCCACCAAGAGTGGGTGAGACAGGCAAATTCGTAGACTCCACCAAATAAATGATAGGCGTCGAAAGAATCATGTCTACGACAAGAAAGTGTATATAGCTACCAGAGTTTGCATAATTGCTATACAAATTGAAATTCACTTTAGTTGGTCATGGGAATTAGCTAACATGATGTTATCGAGAGAAGGGACACGAGACAAATTACTAACTTCTGATTATGAGAGGTAGTTAGAACTAACAACATTCAACTTACTATAGGACATACATAAAATATCTGACCGAAGAAAGTTAAACAACTATGATAGGCGGACTCGCTCTGCTTGCCCAATAAATTAAGAATTTGCCTCTCAAACAATCTGTATATATTATACCTCACCAGCTGTAGAGCTGATGGCAGTAGCAGTGCAGGACACCTCTTGGAAGGTGTAGAAGTTGTACCCTCTGTTTGCCCCGTAGCAGCCAAAGTAGGTGCACGAGGAGGCGACTGGGTAGGAGAGAGTGGTGGAGGATGCGAGGTGAGTCCTGTCCGAGCTGAACAGTAGTGTCGACATCGATGGGGCCTGTGCATGTGTGTGTACGCGCGCACGTATGTGTGTGTGTGGCATGTGAGATGAAAGAATAATCCATGATAAAAGCGAGCCTAATGCAACAGAACCCCCAATCTGGACACCAATAGGAAAGAAGAAAATGCCTGTGCTGGTGAGGTGCCGGCTGAATTGTGTGCAATTCTAACTGTCCATGTCAGGGTTATCAATTCTCATTAATTTTTATCTGTCAATCCTGAATGGATGAAGTGTGCCTCTTCGTAGGTTCCAATATGACATTCATCTACATATTATTTGGATTGGAAACTCCTGACGTTCATAATTAAGAGTGATATTATGGTAGGTATATAATTATACTGATGTCATTATGCAATGCTGAGTGCAATACCAAAGCAGTGATTAAATCTTCCTCACCAGCGAGGTATTGGTGGGGTTGATACAGTGAGAAAAGAGGAAAATCCGGTCGAGTTTGTGGTTTTCCTCGTACAGGGTGGAGTGGTGCCAGTCCAGCTGGACCAGGTGTGTCCCCTCCACTGATGAGTCACAGTCAATCACTGACAGCACGTCCTCTGTTACTCCTCCAATGGTTAGCCCATTTCGCTCTACATATAATTGATTGATACACAGGATCATTTGTTGCAGAACATTATCAATCCAGGTATAGAATATCTCGAGCATGAGCTAGCTACGCACTGGTCTGGATGGACACGCTTCGCTACGCACGATTAGCTGCGAAGTCGTCGCCGTGGCCTGCACACTCATGCTCAGTCAGTCGCTCACCTCTGCAGCATTTCGAGTTGGACCAGACCTCCGAGTCGCAGGGACCACCCGACGCCTCTGCCGCTGTAGCCAGCGAGAGCAGGCAAATAGCGGCGAACCGGCCCTGCGACGATCTCCACCAATGCCTGCAGCCCGCGCCGTTCATCGTCTGCCTCCGTCGGCCTGCTGCGACACTTCGAGCTACACCCTCCCGCTGGAGCCCAGACTTGCAGCCAAACCCCCACGAGACGGCTTGTGCACACACAGGACAAAATGATTGGCATTTGGAATGTTGTAGAGACAACTAAAATACCAGTGGAGATTTCTGAGAAAGTGTTGTCGTGATACAGGATACTAAACTGATACACCAGGCATAATGTACAAACACACAAATGGCACAAACTATCTAACTATTTCAATCCCAAAGCTCTTGGCCGAGCCAATGAGAGTCTTGCAAACACTCTCCAGTGAAACTCCGGCAAAGCTCGGGTCCTCCGACTTGATCTTGGCAATCTCATAGATATGTCTCAGACTCACCTGTCCGACAATATCATGGCCTGCACACACACACACACACCCACTGGCTAGAGAAGGTATTTGCTGGAAAGATAGGTGGCCAGACCTGGTCGTGAGGAGCCTTTCTCGATGCCTGCGGCAGCTTTCAGGAAGTAGGAATTGGTGGGAGTGGAGAAAATGAAACTGAACGTCCGATCAGACTGCGGCATTCCGTAATCTAGAATTAGTGTATACCAGTAAGATGAGTTTTACCATGACTGATATCTTCACGGGCAGATCGATACCCTCCTTGATGTTTTTAGTTTGCTCGTTGAACTCCTTGCAAAACAGGCCAATGTTCACCCCTCTCTGGAGGGGCGTGGTTAAACGCTGGGGTCACAGATGACAGATAAGTTATCCCGTACTTACCTGCCCCAGAGCTGGTCCCAAAGGCGGTGAGGGGGAAGCCATTCCAGCCGGTATGTACATACGCACCGTCGCCACCAACTTCCCCACCGCCTTTCTCTTCCCTGCCATTACACAATGCAGACCTACGTAGCTGCCTCTCCACGTGTGCGCGTAATCACGTCGACCCATTATAATTGGGACGCCCCGAAAACAATATCGGTGCATCATGAGCTATATAGCAGACTGAGTGCAGAGCAGCAGACTGAGTGCAGAGCAGCATTACGATGGACGTGAAGAGTTTCTACAAACGCAAAGAGCAAGGCAGGGAAAACGGGTATGCGATAGTCTGAAATTTTCAAGAGTCTTTGTTTGCTTCCGAACAGCTCGAGTGACGGAGCTCGGAAAGGTTGTTTGTCTAGACTTTTGCACACAAAGAGGTGAGAGGTGCATAGCTACTTGCATCTCAGAAAGCAGAGCTTCAAGTGTTCGTTGCCTCCTGCAGACAGCTGGATCCGGACACGCTGTGGAAAGTTTTCCCAAAGCAGCAGATGGCCTTCGACTTTGCTCGGACCTGTTGGCAGGCAAGCAGTGCTATTTGCTGCTTGGGTTGGGGCCTACACAACATATATAGAGGCTGGATATCGCCTGCGCAAAGATGATGAATTGCTTGTTCTTGTCTCTCGACAGAGTGCGGTGGTTTTTGCATTTGAATCCGAGGATTTTGGGCACGAGGGACAAAGAAAGTATCTCGTGACCACCTACCACCACTTCTCCCAGAATTACCTGTGAGTCTCCCTGCATTTCTTACTATAGAGACAAATGCTCTCTCACAGAGCAACGGAGCCTCCAAGACACTTCTACGAAGTCATCACCGAAGGCAAGATGAAGTCTCCATGCATGCATTTCGCAGCTTTTTCCGGGAACAAATTTTGGAGCTGGAGTTCCAAGTAACTCTCTCTCTCTCTGTAGGCACCGTGTGCCGTCTCTACTTTGACATTGAGTACAAGTTGGAGCTCAACCCTGGAGTTCCAGCCATACCTACCCTTGAAACATTCATAGAGGTAGTATGTCGGTGCCTCTAGTATGGACACCCTCACTGCATGGTTTGGCCCCCCAGTACGTATGCTACCAGCTGAGTGCCTGCTTCCGAATGAGCTGCAGTCGCAGTCAAGTCCTGGACTTGGACTCCACAACAGACACAAAGTTTTCTCGCCACCTCATCTTCCACTTGCCCAATGCAGTCTTTACCAACAACATCCACATTGGTATATTATTAGTATAATTATACTGCTCTTCATATGCACTGTGCCTTTCACTTTCTGCGTGATATCTGGCATACTGTTTGTCTGTGGAGGCAACTGGGTTCACTACACATGTGACAAGTTGAGGGGACTGAGGAGGGAGATAGAGAGAGGAGTGGACACCTCAGAGGTGTGGAGATCTCTCTTCAGCCCCTGTCCACTGTCACCATGTCCAACAGGTCTGCAGTATAACCAGGAAAAGTTAAAGGGAGGAAGGGTGTGGACTAATTTTACAGTGAATTTATCTGCAAAATGCTGTTTCCTCCAATTTTCACACCACATGTTATTAGCAGCAGTCTTCATGCACAAGCCCTAATTATATCTATATATCCATTCTGTGTGTGTATACGTGTAGTGGAGAGGTTGCTGAAGCTGTTTGTGGCCACTGACAAAGGTGATGTCACTCTCATCTGTGATGAAGGTATAATTATTATTATGATTTATTGGGAGCCATTAACTTTTGTATGAGGTGGCAAACTGAAGGATGTACATGACGTGGATTTCCCCTTGCTACAGGTGTGTACACTCGTAACAGAAACTTTCGACCTTTCCTCTCCTCGAAGCTTGGAAAAATGAGCTGTCTCAGGCTGGCAAAAGAAAACAGATTCAAGGTAATGCTACCAAGTGTTTCGTACTTGGTGTTCTCTGACTTACGAACGCATCAAGTAGCAATAATTATTGAAACACACTGCAAGTATGATTCATTCATAACAGACGGTGAGGAGGAAAGAGATGCAGAAGAAGAGGTACTTGGTAGATGTTTTTCTGGATTCACTCATATGCAATGTGAGGTGAAGCAAACCCTTTGGCTATACTACCATGTTTAACTCTGTTCAACTGAATTTGTTGACTGTGATTCACTTGTGATTCATTGCGTATCCATGTAGCTATGAAACCTCTCTACGCATCATATCATTTGAGTCTTGTGGTGAAGAGAGCGGTGGTGGTGGTGGTGGTGGAAAAAGGAAGAGGAGGAAGACAGAGGTAACTGTCGAGGCCCCCAGTGGGCTGGAGGGATACTCAACCTCTCCTTGCCCTCTCGTGGACTCCTTCGTCACCTCCAGCTGCATCAACAGGGGAGGAGTCCAGGGAGCCATTCGTCGCTGGAGCTACTTCCAGCAAGGTCTGTGCTGTGCCGATTGGCACTGTAATAGCAGCCCTTGAGTAGAAATGTTAGAGATCTTTTACCCATTACAGCTCTACCGCTAAAAGTGCATAACAGTTGTTAAGTATGGAATTGCATAATATTGAAACTTTCAAGGACAAAAACTTTCACTCGTGGTCATACCTTTTCTTCAACAAAAGCCTCCTGGAAAATGAACTGAAGCATGGGGATCTACACCTAGCCCTATGGGTGTTATATTAATTTCTAAGGACTTTGTTGAGAATTATGTATGACGCTGTCCTATAGAGAGGTTGTTGGTGTATGATATCAAGCACAACCGCTGGTGCTACAACATAGAGAGAGCACATAAGAGCAACAACATCATGTGAGCCTCTTAACTTATTGAGAGTGTAGACTGTATGCAATATAGTGTAGGATAGTTGCTGATCTCCAGAGGGGCGTCTACTATCAGAAATGCCACGACCCTATCTGCAGAGGCATAAATTTCAAATCCAATGGTAAATTCTCGAATACACTACTACTAACAGTAGCTGTGCGTCACATCTTTCTGCAGAATTTGAGATTCCGAATGAAGTGAATCCTTTTTCAGTTGGAGTAGCTTCCAGTGAAGGAGGCAGTGAGGAGGATGTTGGTCAGTGGCTGGGTCCCGGTGACCTACCGCTGGAACAGCTGCAGGTTTATACTCTAGAGGAGGAGGGAGAGGAGAGGAAGAAAGAGGAGGGGGTGAAAGGAGAGAGGGAGGGGGAAGATGAAGAAGAGGAGGGGGAGGAGAGGAAGAAAGAGGAGGAGGTGAAAGGAGAGAGGGAGGGGGAAGATGAAGAAGAGGGGGAGCAGGAGAAAGAGGAAGGAGGGTGGCAGGATTATCACTTGGGAAATGAAGGAGCGAGTGGTGATGGGTTGCATGATGAAGCGATACTGGCAAGGGTGGCTGAAGAAATGGACCTAAACTTTCCGACAGATGATGTTGAAACTGTACTGCCAGCACCCAAAGATTTGAGTGGCCAGAGTGTGGCTGATGGACATTCTCCATTGCTATCCTCACAGGAAAAAGACTTGCTGTTTGATGCTGCTTACGATGCCTATGACCTGGTGCATTTTTACGTGACTTACGCTTGCGTGTGTCACTTGTGCGCATGCGCACACCTCATATCCTCGCCACACTGTCTGTATAATTAACTTACTGCACGCACCAGCGCAGCACACCAGCAGCAAAAGTAGTGGTGGTGGATCCTCCACACAAGGGGACGATGTCCGGGAGAAAAAGGACGTTGGATATCGATGGAACTGGCTCTGAGAGCAGGGTGAAAGCCAGGTACTGTAGTACACTCCCCTTGTGCACTGCCCCGTGGGGCGCTCTATTTAGAATTTACCACTCTAGTTCTTGCACGTGTGTACGTGGACGGTGTATAACCGACTGATGGGCCCCAACTTGTCTTTGAATGCATGGGGTTGTGGGGTTTAAATATTTCAATGCCTGTTTTTGGGTTGGTAGATTATTCCGGAAGATTGTTCATGTGCTAACGGATCTGTGCTTCATGCTCTTCTCAAACTGTGCCCTACTTCCCCTGCCGATGACATCATCACTATTGCTCCACTTACTCTCCGTTCTGTTGGGAATGATGTCGCTATTCCTCCATCGATTCTTCGATGCCGTACATGAAACCGAAAAATGTCCCCTCCCCCTGTTGTGCCGTGTTATTGGTGGGCGTGTGAAGGAGAGAGGAGGTGGGTGGAGGAGGAGGAGGAGGAGGAGGGGAGGCAAAGAAGGTGGACACAGCCAAGATGCAGATCAACAAATACACAGGTCGTCCGTTCTCGCAGAAGTTTTGGACCATCCTGGAGAAGAGGAAGGGCCTGCCGGTGTGGGACTACTACACAAAGTTCATGGAGCTGGTGAAGGTTCACCAGTGTGTGGTGCTGGTGGGGGAGACCGGCAGCGGGAAGACCACTCAGGTGGGAGATGATCCTCTCGTTATAACTTCCCACTAGGTTACCTTCCGTGTTTGTGTAGAGTGGTCACCATGTATGTGGTGTTTACACGTGACATATGTTCTGCTTGTCTTGGTCTGTGCTAAATACCTGCACTCTCCACTGAGTTAGTAGAAATATATTGTCGTTTGGTGTCGTTTTAGGTGTTCAGTCCTTTTTGGTCTCTTCTTTGAACATTTCCTTTTCTCGGTATCCGTGTGCAACCCTCTTATGCAGTACGTGTGTTTTGTTTTCCATAAATAGAGCAATGTGACCTCATGGTGTTGAATTACTTTTCTTCTTCTTCCCACTTCCCATTCCCAAACTCTCCCTCCTCCCCTCCCCCCCTCAAACTGTCCCCAGATCCCGCAGTGGCTGGTGGAGTTGAGTCAGCAGAACCAGAAGCGACGAGTGGCATGCACGCAGCCTCGCAGAGTGGCGGCCATGAGCGTCGCTCAGAGAGTGGCCGACGAGATGGACGTCACCCTGGGTCAGGAGGTGGGGTACTCCATCAGGTTTGAGGACTGCACGTCGGGCAAGACTGCCCTCAAGTAAGCTCTACCGTTTCTGTCTACCTTTGTGTGCCTTTTAACTACTTCATTGGGGTTGAAATACACAGACTCTCTGCTACTTGTAGCTAATGCTTTTTGATCAGCTGGCCTCACAGGTAGCTAAGTAGAGTCTCTTGACATGGACAACTCTCAAGTTTACTACAAACAATTTTTTATGCAAGTTTGATCTTTTTCTGGACCTCGTATATACACCAGGTACATGACAGACGGGATGCTGCTGCGCGAGGCCATGGGAGACCCTCTCCTGGAGCAGTACGGAGTGGTGATTCTGGACGAGGCCCACGAGAGGACCCTCGCAACCGACATCCTCATGGGACTACTCAAAGAGGTCAGCTGGGATCATGTGATCGTCATGTGACACCCTGGTTTAGTCACGTGACCTCCAGTTTATGTTATTCACACTTTTTTCCTATTCTCTTTCCCATTTCTCTCTATTGTTTCCCATACTAACCCCTTCCCTGTCTGTATCAATCACATGACATCATGTGACTGTCACATGTCACTTCAGATAATGGGCAACAGAGAAGACCTGAAGATAGTGATCATGAGTGCAACGCTGGACGCTGGCAAGTTTCAGGCCTATTTCAACGATGCCCCACTGCTGGTAAGACCAACTATGTATGTAGGTATAATTATACAGTCAGACTAAGCTTTGTGATTCAGTAGCAATTAAGAATTGCACAAATTGTCCCGCTGTACGTATTGTTGCAAATGGCCCCGTCCACAAAAGTGACTTTTGTGGGAGGCTGTTAGACATTGATGATATGTAAAGTGCCACATCTGGCATAGTATCTACATGAATAAATACCACAGGCAGTGATTTTTCTTGTACTTGCAAGTGAAGGTGTATCTCTCAATGCAGTGTGTTTGTGTGCACATGTATGTAGATAATACCACGCACATAGAGTAGCTGCATGGGTATAATGCCACCAGGTGTACGCACATAGAGTAGCTGCATGGGTATAATGCCACCAGGTGTACGCACATAGAGTAGCTGCATGGGTATAATGCCACCAGGTGTACGCACATAGAGTAGCTGCATGGGTATAATGCCACCAGGTGTACGCACATAGAGTAGCTGCATGGGTATAATGCCACCAGGTGTACGCACATAGAGTAGCTGCATGGGTATAATGCCACCAGGTGTACGCACATAGAGTAGCTGCATGGGTATAATGCCACCAGGTGTACGCACATAGAGTAGCTGCATGGGTATAATGCCACCAGGTGTACGCACATAGAGTAGCTGCATGGGTATAATGCCACCAGGTGTACGCACATAGAGTAGCTGCATGGGTATAATGCCACCAGGTGTACGCACATAGAGTAGCTGCATGGGTATAATGCCACCAGGTGTACGCACATAGAGTAGCTGCATGGGTATAATGCCACCAGGTGTACGCACATAGAGTAGCTGCATGGGTATAATGCCACCAGGTGTACGCACATAGAGTAGCTGCATGGGTATAATACACACAGCTGTAGCACTCGGCCAACTTCACACATTACGGAGAAAATTGAGTCTTTGTGTGAAGTGGTAGTGATAGTGTCTCAACCTCCCCAGAGCATCCCCGGCCGCACCCATCCAGTGGAGATCTTCTTCACCCCGGAGCCAGAGAGGGACTACATCGAGGCGGCCATTCGGACGGTGGTCCAGATCCACCTCTGTGAGGAGGGAGCTGGCGACATCCTCCTCTTCCTCACCGGACAGGAGGTATGGTGTATTATACTGGGGTAAATTTTTCCGTTAATTGCTGTGTCCTCGAGAGTGAAATTCCTACTACATATTATAGATATGTGAGTTTTTGCTACAGAACAGAAATTTTTTAATGGGGTTCATTTAGAGCACCTTGATCGGATCTCTTCCTCCTTGGAGTTGAAGTGAACCTTTTGACACAGGGTGTTGCCTCCCTTCCCCGCTACTTCTTGTTCATTTCGCTCTCTGTTCTTTTCTCTCCCTCTCCTCTCTCTTTCGTTTTCATCTCGCCTCTCCTCTCGTCCCGTCCTCCCACAGGAAATCGAGGAATCCTGCAAGAGGATCCAGCGAGAGGTGGACAACCTCGGCCCGGAGGTCGGGAGCGTCAAATGCATCCCTCTCTACTCCACCCTCCCTCCGGCCCTTCAGCAGAGGATCTTTGAGCCTGCCCCGCCCACTAAACCCAACGGTGCCGCGGGTCGTAAGGTGGTAGTGTCGACCAACATCGCAGAGACCTCGCTCACTATTGATGGCGTCGTGTTTGTCATCGACCCTGGGTTTGCCAAACAGAAGGTGGGACAGGAAGAGTCAGGCATAACACTGTAGCCTTAGACCACACACCTATATAGACTAAGAGAAAGCCAACAGTATACTGAAATAACTACCCCACAGAGTGTTACTATAACAACGCCCCTGTCTTTGTGATTTTCCACTTGCTTCCCTTTTAATTTCGCTGACATAGCTAGAATGCTATACACACACGTTTTTTCATACGTGATTGTGATTGTATACAGGTGTACAATCCTCGGATAAGGGTGGAGTCGTTGCTGGTGTCTGCCGTCTCCAAGGCCAGTGCACAGCAGAGGGCCGGTCGTGCCGGCAGAACTCGTCCAGGGAAATGCTTCCGGCTCTACACGGGTACACACACAATTTATCATTTATTGCTTGTGGTGAAAGTAGTGCATGCGCTCGCCTAGACTCCAGAGTGTCGTGGGTTCGAATCCCACCCAGGGCAGCTCTTCTTCTTTTCAAAGAGCTGTCCTGGGTGTAGTTGACTTGTTTGCCTTGCCTTTCCTTTCTACCTCATTGTTGAGACATGCAATCAGTGACAGTTGTGTCTGTGGTAGATTGACTTGTGTAAACTCACTTGTATCTCTTGTGATTTCCCTCCCTCAATCCAGAGAAAGCCTACCAGAATGAGATGCAGGACAACACCTACCCCGAGATCCTCCGCTCCAACCTCTCCTCTGTTGTACTGCAGCTGAAGAAACTCGGCATCGATGACCTCGTCCACTTTGACTTCATGGACCCTCCCGGTATAGGGGTGTGGGGTGTTGGAGTGTGGTGGGCTATGGGGTATTGGTCCCTGGGTATGGGGTAGTGGAGTGTGGGTATCTACTTGGATTTGTTGTGGTAGTGTGAATCATAATTCTGGTGAACGAACACATACTACTCACAGCCCCAGAGACCCTGATGAGGGCACTGGAGCTGCTCAACTACCTGGGGGCCCTGGACGACGACGGAGAACTGACTCAGCTGGGGGCCATGATGGCAGAGTTCCCTCTCGACCCCCAGCTGAGCAAGATGCTCATCGCTAGCACTGACTACAACTGCTCCAACGAAATCCTCTCCATCACCTCCCTTCTCTCAGGTGACATCATCCCCAGTGTCACATGACATGCTTCTGACTGTCATGTGACTTGTGTCCATCCTCCATCTCACACACGGCCACAGTGCCGCAGGTGTTCATTAGACCAGGAGACAAGAAGAAGGAGGCGGACGAGGCAAAGATGAGGTTTGCTCACATTGATGGAGACCACATCACTCTTCTCAATGTCTACCACGCATACAAGCAAAGTAAGCCAGTCGCATTGCTTTTGCTCCTGTCTCTTTCTCCTCCACCCCCTCTTTCTCATTCCTCCTCTCATTCCTCACTCTTTCTTTTCTCTTCCTCCCTCTTTCTTCTCCTATGAACCCCATTCCTCTGCTCCCTCTTCTCCTATGGACTCCATTCTTTCTCTGTTCCCTTTCTTTTGATGCCATGATGACTCCCCCCCCCTCTTACGTTCTCTCCCTTCCTCTTTTTCTTCTTTCCTCCTCTTTATGACCAAAACACCCCAACCCCCATCCCATTCCCATTTCTTCTGCCTCTCTCTCTCTTCCTCCATTTCCTTCATTACCCCACCACCCCTCTCTCACCTCTCCCCCGGACTCCAGACAATGAAGACCCCCAGTGGTGCTACGACAACTTCATCAGCTACCGGTCTGTGAAGCTAGGCGACGGTGTTCGAGACCAGTTGTCCCGGATCATGGACCGGTTCGGTCTTCGTCGTACCAGTACGGAGTTCACCAGTCGTGACTACTACATCAACATCAGGAAGGCTCTCATTTCCGGCTTCTTCAGTCAGGTGAGGAGAGGGCAGGGTTTTGAAGCTTGCGCAAGTGTCAGAATGGCATTCTTTTGGTCTCCCACATTGTCTAGCATAGACCACAGTACTTAGTCTTACTACTGTCTTGTGTTTTAGCTCTGTTTTGTTTGTGTGCAGATTGGTCATTTGGAGAGGAGTGGGCATTACCTCACTGTCAAAGACAACCAGGTATACATAACACCACTTCCTATGAACACCACAGTTATGCTTAGTGCCAATGTGAATACTGGTATATGTACACTTTTGCAGGTTGTTCAGTTACACCCCAGCACGTGTCTGGACCACAAGCCAGAGTGGGTCCTCTACAATGAGTTTGTCCTCACCAGCAAGAACTACATCCGCACCTGCACCGACATCAAGGCAGAATGGTCTGTGTGTGCGTGTGTGTTTGCCTCTTGAATTACTGCCATAAATGTAAGAAAATGTGTGTGTAGATAAATCCCCCTAATGCCCACTTGTTTCCATTCCCCCTGTGTGTGTGCGTGTGCATTCAGGATGCTGAGGATTGCCCCACAGTACTATGACCTGGCCAACTTCCCTCAGTGCGAAGCCAAGAGACAGCTAGAGAAGATCAAAAACAAGTTGGAGCTCCAGAATCAGGGCATCTTCTAGCCCCACACCGCCCTCTCTTCCTGCCTCCTTTCTCTACACTCGCTCTCTCTCTCTTCCAACTATATACCGTGCTGACTGCCATCTCGATATGCAGCTGCCAGCATTAGCTGAGTGACAGAAGCCTACGTGGCTCATTGCTCATCTTGTATGTAAAGCAAAATTATGTTTTCATTTAGGGATCGGAATGAATTCTGTAAAGATTTTGAATCCATGAGAACGCGGAAGCCCGCATGCACTCTGCGTTACGTAGCGTGCGCCCTTGCGAGGCTTTAGGATGAGCGGCGAGGAGTTTCCTCAGGCGAAGCGAGCTAGGCTGGAGGACCCGACAGCGTCCTTGCTGACTCCAGCAACAGAGGAAGAGGAGGAGGGAGGAATGGCGGGTAACAGAGTCGTGCTGCTGCTCTGCGGGTCGTTCAGTCCCATCACAAACTTCCACCTCCGCATGTTGGGTGAGGCTCAAATCGAGAACGCTAGCCGCGGTCTAGTTGGTGCGCGCGGCTGTGCTGCTGTGTACCTACCTGTGGCCTGTGGTAGGTTGAGTGAGGTGGACTGGTCATGTTTGCTCCCCTGCAGAGCTGGCCCGCGACTTCTTGCAGCGAACTACGAGGTTGAGAGTGGTCCGCGGAATCATCTCCCCAGTCCACGATGCCTACGGGAAGAAGGTGCAGCATGCTGGAGGATCTGCTATAGCTATACTAGTGAGTGTGCTATCACCTCTCTATGCTCAGGGCCTGGTTGACGCACATCATCGCCTTGCCATGTGTCGACTAGCAACTCAAAATTCTGACTGGGTGATGTGAGTAAATGTAGCTAATAGTCCAGTGCCCTGAGTGACTGACTTGTGTGGTGCATCTCTGTGTGTTTGCTGTAGAGTTGATCCATGGGAAACCCAGCAGGAGGGGTGGACTCTCACTGCCAGTGTTCTAAAGCACTTTCAAGAAACTCTCAATTCAGATATGAGTACGTGTATAATGCCCCTCTTATATATATAGCAGTTCTATTTTCAAATCTCTGGATGCAGAGGGTGGTGGAAGGGTTAAACTGCTGTGCGGTGCCGACCTTCTTGAGTCTTTTGCCACACCTGGTCTCTGGGACAGTCAAGATGTATGCTATATAGCACTTGACCCGTTCTTTCAATCTGATGAGTGTTTGTTTGTTTCTCAGATTGAATCAATAGTGAAGGACTATGGGCTGGCGGTGATCTCCAGGAGTGGGTCAAACCCTGAGAAATTCATCTATGAATCTGATCAGCTGTCACAATTACAGGTTCCCTAGTGGCTCTGTGTGTGTGGTGGCCCCTCTCACTCTGAACTAGGACACTGTATAACACACATACTTCTTTTGGCCTCTCAAAAAGGCATCTGAGGAATGTGTTGGTTGTATGCCGTTAATTAGGATACTCTACTTACCCTGCAGAGCCATATAAATTTGGTCACAGAATGGATTCCGAACGACATCAGCTCCACTAAAATCAGGTTTGCGTCTGCTTTTTTGTGTCTGTTGTGAGTGGTCAACTGATGCCGTCCTATCAGGCGAAGTCTGAGACGAGGGGAGAGTGTGCGGTACCTGGTTCCTGATGGCGTGCTCGACTACATTCTACAGCAAAAACTCTACCTCAACTGAATTGAATCGCCCACGCGCGTTGCGTGCGGTCCCGCCAATGTTAATGCGCATGCGCATACCACACGCGTCGCGTCTGCGCGCGCGAGCGGGAGATATAAACCGACCGGTGCCTGTGCTGTGTATCATGTCGTCTCAGAGAGCTCGGTCTTATTCCTTGGCCATTGCTCGTCGTCGTAGATCGTCGCGTTTACACAATCAACTTGGTAGCGTGAGCGAGCATGGCCTGACGTCCACGCAAATAGAAGGTAAGCCGGGATCACAGTCGGACTTGCGATATGCTTCTCTCCCGCCCTATTCTCTAGCATTTCGTGAGGTGTTCAGTCTGTTTGACGTGAACGGCGGAGGAACCATCGACGCCCAAGAGCTCCACAGTGCCCTTGCCTCTGTTGACATTCGCCTCACGAAAGAAGAGATCGAGGATGTCCTCTGCGTCATGGACGAAGATGGTAACAGCAATTATTAGTTATCGTAAATGTATAACTGTTGGTGTGCGCAGGGAACGGGGAGGTTGACTTTGAAGAGTTTCTGACGCTGATGACCTCCACTGAGAAATACCTTGAGGCACTGGGAGGTGAGTGACCAAACCACACACACACACACTCTTGCTGTGCTGTCATGGCCCTGACTGACTTAAAAGTTGTACCTGCTGCAGGTGAGAAGGAGGATAAAGAGAGCCTCCTCTTTTCTGCCCTGACAAAGTTCATGATGAAGTCTGCTCTCTCGTCCATCTCAGAGATTGAGAGGTGTGTCAACCCCTCTCTGGTCTAGAATCATTCTACACAAATAGCTGGCTGGAGCATAAGAGAGAGTGGGGAAACACAATCATATTATGACCTTGCATTGTGCACAGGTACTACAATGCCAAGGTGCGCAAGTCTCCCCACGTGGTTGGACACTATGCAGCTGGGGCCAGGCTGATAGGACTCACAGAGAAGCAGATGGCCCAGCACCTGGCCACACTCAACCAGTCCGGAGACGAAAACAGCGACTCTCCCTATGCGCAACCGGTCTGTCTGTTCAACTCGCAGGGATCCCTAGAGAAACAGTCCAGGAAGGGCAAGATACGGCTGAGGATCATCAACAAGAAACTGAAAGACTCGAGTGACACTGAAGTAAGGTCTGCTGTCGGAGAAAAGGTACAATGCGTGTGGTTTTTACTCTATAGTGGAAATCATCAGTGGAATTTTGTCCTATATATATACAGACTGGGGATTCTGCCATGTGCAAGCCGTCGGGAAGCACAGCGTCGACAGTCACTCGCAGCAAGACGCCAGCCTCCTGCATGTCTCCCATGTGTCTGCGGCCTCAGATCTCAGTCAAACTACCCGCCATCTCCATGAGCACAGTCCAGAAGAACCCCGACCAGCTCACCATTGAAGACCTGCCCACCATTCGATCACAGGTGTACAACTATTGTGACAGTTGTGTGTTGTTGTGTGTGCATGTGGGTGTGTACATAGAGTGAGTATCTTGGTTGGTGTTCAGGTCCGGAGGGCCTACTACAGGTTCTACACCCAGCAGCAGAACCGGAGCGAGGACCGTGTGAACACGTTTGCCGACATAAGCCAGATCCCGCAGAGCCTCCAGCTCCCGTTTCTTCTCATACTCACCGCCTACGGCGTGAAGCCCGCCAACATCCCCCACCGTCTGAGGCTGCGTCTGGCCCAACAGAGGCCATGGCAACAGGATCAGTTCCTCCCCTCCATAGTCCTCGACTAGAGAGAGACCCCTATTATTATAATGTCATAATGACCTGCTTTCTGTAAAAAAAATCACATGGTGACTCATTTAACACACATTGAGATAATTGAGGTGATTATACTACGATACTACAGTCAGCTGCGTGTGAGTGTGAAGTATTGTACGTATTGCTGTCTTCTATTACTGATTGGTGGGGGCTATGCGAGTGCCAGGTGGAACTGTGGAGTAAAGATTCTGCTCTGTTCGTGGCAGGTTCCTTCTCGGCTTGGGACGTGGAACATTAACATACTGAGCAGAAGGAAAAGAGAGTTTATGACTTAATATATACAACCCATACCTTGTGAGGCTGTTCTATCCTGACAGTGGTGTACTGAATGGGTGTGTTTGGTGGAGGAGGCTTGCGTTTCTGATGTCCTGGTGCCCTAAATGTGCTGTAGGTGGCTCTGTCATGGTCCACCTGGACATATTGAACACCCTGGGAGGAGAATTTGTATATAACAGACGCTCAGTGTGTGCCAGTCAATTATCTTATCATTGTAAGTCGTACCGGTTCAGCTGGTGGGCCGGCATTGTTTGAGTTGTGGTCAAGATCGACATACACCAAGCCACTCTGAGACTGTCACATTGAGGTGAAAATTGCAGTTGTACTATTAATGTGAGAGCTCTAGAATCGAATGAGTATTCCTCACCTTTGGTAGTTTAGACAGGTCCACCTTCTCCTCTCCGTACCCTTCATTGTGGTGGCCAGTGCTCTGTGCAAAGAGACAGATTATGAAAGCATTGAGAAAGTCTAAAGAACCCCACCAATCACCAGGGCTTCAGTTGCTGTTGCACATTAGCCTGATTAGCTGCCTTAGCGGGAAGGAATGTTCATGCAGTGAGGGAAAGAATCCTTTCTTGAGGCTGACTGATACTAGACTGGGACAATTTTGGAGAAAGCTAATGTTACAGCAATTATATAACTACTCGTGAGCTCTCAGTATGTATTTAGAGAGGTGTATATACTACGCATCTCGTGACAGAACAAGAATATGCCAATAGAGACCAGTGAAGTTTGAAACAATTTCCCAGTGTCATTTGAATGTGTAGAGGTGTCCACTGTTGTAAAACGGGGGAGAAGTTCTTACGTTTTCATGAACAACAGAAGAGTATGTGACTCCATCATTATCCACGACATCATTTGGTGGGATGGTGGGAGTTAACTTTGGGGACTCTACTGTCAGAGCACTGAGATCTGCGAGTCAATTATAATTATCACACAACCTGATAGAGTAATTGTATAGCCGTAACATACTGAGTCGGTACATCTTCCTGTATCGCCTTCGCCTGTACACGAGGATGATAGTCACCACTAGTATCAGGACCCCTAGAATCACAACCACTCCTCCACCGGCGGCTGCTACTGGCAGCAGCAGGGATGTCTCGCTGGCCTCTGTCGAGTTTAACGCACCGACCGTTGGTCGTTCAATGCTTGGTTCAGAGCCACTAGGAGATGGTGTAGAGGTGGATTCAGTTGCAGTGGATGTTGTACAGTTCAAAGTAGCTCCAGTGGATTCTGTGTACCACACACAATACTAATCTATCACTGTTACCGCATTTAGCTAAACATTACCACACATCTTGTCTCCTCTACAGCTGCAGTCGTCTCCGCTGTACCCAGTGTAGCAGTCCACTGTGAACGAAACAGTGGCACTCAGTCTTCCACTCACTCCAACTACATCCACTGCGGAGCACTCTCCACCACCCAGCGTTCTCTCCAGGTCAAGAAACACCTCGTCCAGTACATTCTCTTTGAATGGCGGGATATCAGGTTGAGTAAGTATTGCCATGTAAAGCTGAACACCTCCCTGTTAAACACAGCAAGTGGAAAAAACACACTAGCATTTAGAAAAGTGAGCTAACTTAGCCCTAAAGTTGACTCACTCTGTAAGAAAAGAAAGGATTGACGAAAGGTCTTCCGTCAGGCATGAGCTGCATGTATATACAAATTCAAGAATCCACGACTGTTGCAAGGTGTTCCTCTTCCCCTCCTTACCGAAGAGTTGACTTGGTCAAGAGACGTCAATTCTCGCTCAAGTAGTTCGTTTGCCTCTCCTGCAATGAAACACGTAGCAACTGTGGCCGCGGTCTTCCCGCACAACCCCAAGGTATCGCAGGCACATGGCCAAGATGTTACCGTCGCACGGGCCCGCCGCGGCCGCACGTCCGCAGCGAGCGGAGCTGATCCGGAGGGAGAACGTCCACTCGCCTACAGTCAACTGCAAAATTGACGCACCACCACAAACATAAATGGAATGCTCCAGTTTGCTACTGTGCACTAACCTGACATGCTAGTAATAAAACAGCGATGGACCACCACAACGCCATCATGGCACCTAGCTCAGCTTTGGCATGCACGTTGGAGAAAAGCGTGCCCTTCGGCATCTGCGCATGCGCATATTACTCAATTTTGTGTAATAATTCGCGCTATAATTACGTAACACTACTATCTTCGCTGAGTCTTTCCAATGCCTCTCTTCCCGGAGAATAGATGCTTGGGTTTCAGGGTGTAGACATGTCTGTCCCAGATCCCCTGTTTCCCCAGACGGCCCAGTGGTCTCTGTGACAACCGCTGCTTCTTCACTGCAGCCTCCAGCATGGCGGAGTCACGAACCCCTGACCTCTCACGGAGGTCGCGGGAGCTGGAGCGACCCTGGGACTGGGAGCGGGCCATCACTGACACGGCAGACCTCGACCGCTTCCTCTTCTTTCCAGCAACAGACGGAGCTGCTGAGTCTAAGAAATGATGTATATACATCAAGGTAAAGTACCAGTACTAGTCATTGTAATGCACAGCAACACACGCAATTCTTGATTCATTTACTCACCGTCTCTTTCACCCTCCTTCCCATCCACGTCCATCCTCTCACTAGTCCTAACTCTCGGGCGACTCAGTCTCACAGCGGGGCCCTTGCTCCTCGGCATGACGGGTGCATTCCGCGACCTCTTCAACCAGCTCTGCTTCCGCATCAGCGATCGCTTTCTGCGAATCGCTGTGGCAATCTTCCGAGTCTTAACTGTCTCCTCGTCCTCCGGCTCCGAGTCGTACACCCCGACCGCCTCCCTCATCTCATCCTCTCTCTCCAGCTCCTCCAGTCGCTCAAGAATCTCCGGGTCGATGTAGTCGGCAATGTTCTTCCCCTCGAAGATCTCAGGGATGATGTCATACTTTTCCTCACCGTTCTCCAGCTGGTAGTGCTTCTTCAGGTCCAGGAAATAGTCGTCGCCCATCTCCAGCTCAATGTCCCTCTCCACTTTCTTCTTCGGGAGAGCTACATTTGGAGCCTCTTCGGAACCTCTTGCTGTTTCCACATCCATGCTGCCCCCGTCGGCTGGTCGATTTTTCCTCAGCTTGGCTCCTGGAGGAATGAACGGAGTTCTCTCAGCCCCGTCGCGCAGGGTGGGCATGGCCACGTGGAGACGGTTCAGGACGTCGGGGAGTTTCTTGCCTTTCATTTTCACCTCCACCCGCTGAGCCAGGAGCATGTCGCACGCCTGTGTCTTCACGCCGTGATCCCTTCCTCCGTGAGCGTACTCATGGGGAGCAGGGTGACTCCGTCTTCTTCCAGCTTTGCCAGCGCGACCCTGGCGTCTTCCCTGAGCTCTTCGGGAGTGATGATGTCAGTCTTGTTGAGGGCCACCACCAGAGGCTTGTTGGCAAAGAGGGGCTTTATGTTCTCAAATAGCTGTATCTGCTGCTCGATGGAGTAGCTACACTGTTCGGCTATGTCCATCACAAACAGAACCGCTGCCCTGCAGAACACAAAAACCATGTAAAGGATCACAGACTTGGAGTAACACTGTGTTTCTCACCGTAAATGGGCCAGAGCAGTGATAGCCTGCATCTCGATGGTGTTCCTGTCCTCCAAGGGGTGGTCCAGGATCCCTGGCGTGTCCACCACCTGCCAGCGAAGGTAGCGGTAGTCCAAGTGACCCACAAACAGCGACTTGGTGGTGAAGGCGTACGGTTGGACTTCGACGTCTGCCCGGGTGACCTTGTTCATGAAGCTGGACTTCCCGACGTTTGGGAACCCGCACACGAGGATGGTGCGGGTGTTGGGATCGATGGAGGGGAGCCTGGCGAGGTGCTGCCTCACCTGTTCAAGGTACTGGAGGCTCTGGTTCTGCCGCTTCATGATGGTGCACATCCGACCCAGCGCCGCTCGCTTCAGCTGCTTGCAGCGGTAGAGCGAGTCGCCGAACTTCATGAGACGTACGTAGTCCCGAGCCACGCCGTCGATGAGATGTTTGGCCGAGTTGACCTGCCCCAGCGCCAGCTTGTAGTGGTCCTTGTCGTACAGGACGTTCATGAGGTCGGCGTAGAACGGATGGATGTCGTCCAGCTTCGGGAACTCGGCCACCACCGTTGCCAGCCGGTCGTGGAACGTCTGCTGGGCGAACTTCACCTTCTTCGTGTAGAACTGCCGGATGCGGGAGATCTTGAAGTGGCGGTGGATGACGGTGGGCGTCTTTCGCTGGGTCTTGGACAGGACAATGTCCACAAAGTCCTTGGCGGACGGGACAACTGTTATCTTCTTGAAGTTGTAATGACTCATGGCGGCACAAGTCTAGTCGCGATCGCCAGCGGAAAAGCTAACACACGTGGAGGTTAAAGGTCAACGTGAAGATTCTCTTGAACGCATGCGCAATCGATTATGGCGACTAAAAAGCCACAACACAATTATTTTTACTAACTAAAAGTTCCTTTCATGTCAGTTTGTAGTAATCACCGTTGTGTAATATGTCGCTTCACCAGCATTGGCAGGCTGAGGGAGAAAAAATCGAGCAAAAAATCATTAGAAACACTAGTGGTGGCGATTCAACACACCTGAGATGGGGTCCTGGGCGTAGAGTAGGGGTTGCTGTTGACTGTAGAGTAGGCCACGGGCTGCTCTTCATCAGGCTGGGGATAGGAGATGTCTGGTGGCCGAGGTGGCTTTGGTGGAGGAGCAGCGCTCTTCTTAGTGTGGAGGTTGAGTTCAGCATACACCAGAGCCTGAATCAACACACAATATCAGTAGAACAAAGAAGGTGTAATAGAAAACTGTTAAGTAGGCACATGACAACAAAAAATGAATATAGGCCTGCCGGCATTGCTGCTGGTGCATATTCTTGGGGTGGTCAGTGTTTCTACCTGGCTGCTTGTAGTAACTGCTGTTCCGTTAGACATACTATGTTCCTCTCCATGGCTCTCTGTAGCCTGAAAAAAGACACAGGTATGTACCTAATAGATCCCGTGCAACAACACAGCACCACAACGCTTCAAAACAGAAGCCTGATACTCATATCTGCTGTATTGATAACACGTAACTCAACCTCATTTATGGTTTTACTGGGCATTCTATAATAGTGGCTATCAGGCACTACAGCATCCTAGGAACTTATGATGTGTCCAAAACAGTGGTTTTCGGTTTCTTGAAGCAGCAGCTAATGAGTGTTTGTATGTATGCTTAGCTATACTTGGTCACTGGGATGTAGTTGCAGTGGTCTCAGGGTCTCTTTCAGTAACTGGGACTTGATAGGGATCAGGGATTTCTGGAGGTCCTGTAGAGAAAATGAACAACACCTGTGGTGAACAGTGTGTTAATCGCATACAAATTCTCCACAGTTCTTTGTGTTGTAAACTAACTTCTCCTTGTCTTCTTTTCTTTGTTGATGGTGGAATAGAGGGGAGTTTGGGCTGTGGGAGGTTCAATGGTTGATGATGGGCTGTTGTCAAGAAACCTGTCAGCACCATCTCCTCTGGGGATGACAAATAATTAAGAATCATCTGAGGAAACAGATTAGTTGTTGAGGCTTACCAGCTTTCTTTCTTCTCCTTCTTCTTGTAGCACAGCACAATGACGACCGTTATTACGATGATGATGATGATAGCCAACACAACTATAGCTACTACCACACCAGCTATGATCGGAGTCGGATCTGTACTGCTAGTTGATGGTTCCATGGTTCTACTGGTGACTGCACATTGAGTGGTCCCCATCGTGGCAGACACACTCTCCGACAGTGTTGCAGTATCCCAGAGTCAGGTTGCAGGTGATCTGCTCACTACATGTGTTGACTGACAGACAGTCATCCCCGCCATACCCCGGGCTACACTCCACACTGATGAAGAAGGTCAAGTTTGCTCTTCCGTTCTTCCCACCTCCAGCTACTGACACCTCTCCACTACCTGGTAAAGTGTCTACTGTGACAAATATGGTATCTATGGTATCATCGTTAAACGGTGCAAAGTCTGGCATAAGTGTGACTCCAGCAAATATCTGAACCCCTCCCTGTAAGGGACGTGCTGTAGCTAAACAAGAAATACAGATAATGCTAGTTTTACCTGATATCCAGTGGTAGTAAAGCCAGGATTACTCTGTATAATAGACAATTATCAGTGTTTGTCATTGGATTTTTGATTCTTACTCTAAAAGCATCAGCTGGGGTCAGTTGTCTGTCAATGATGTCGCTTCCATTGTCAGTGAGGAAGAAAACGGAACAACTTTCACGATCTTCAACAGGAGTATCAGGACTCCTGAGACATATCCCAATAGCGAGGTCCTCACACGAGCCAAGCTGCTCACAGGAGGTGGGACTGGTGCAACAGCGAGCAGAGGAGACCCGCAGAGAAAAACTCCATGCACCCCCGACCAACTGCAGAGAATCAAATGACGCTGTACCTTGACATAACAAACTAGATCCAACCTGTCGTATTAATAGGATAGCGAAAAGATAGGCAGCAACCGTCCAGCGATCCATCGTCGAAGACTCGAAGTAGAGAGCGCGGGGGCGCAAGATTTTTTCTAGAATTTAGTACGCATGCGCACAACCGCGCTATTATCCCCGTTTGGTGTCCCGCTCTAACAAAGAAGTTATTTTCATTGGTAGACATAAAAGTTCTCCTATTGAGACAAAAATAGCTACAATCTTGAGTAAGTTAGTGTTCTACTGTGAGTATCATTTGTTGGTGGCTACGTTTGAGTAGTGAGGTTCTTCAGCAGAAGATGGTGGTGTCCCTGGCTTAGTATGGGGGTCAATGGCAGAGTAGGTCACAGACTCCTCTTGGTTGGATTGTTGTGGAACTGCCGGTGTAGGTGGCTTTGGATTGGCAGTCTTTTCCGCTTGGAAATCAAGATCAGCATACACCACACCCTGGACAATAGCAGAACAACTCTCGCTAGTTACAGAGCTATTATGCAGTGCATGCACCTTACTGCTTCCAACAGCTGGGGCATTGGCCATATCTTCCTTGCCATGGCACACATCAGCCTGAAAACAAATTATGTGCCACTAAATGAAAATTTACACCTGCTTGGGGCACTGTAACTCTAGTCACTGTATATGGCAGTGTTCATTAGCTCTGTGGCCTTCTATACAGCATATATAGGTGTTGCATGTATATACGTAGTTAAATGAATAGTTATGGGAACCCTTACTTTAATAATCGTATGCTGATGGACATACCTGGTTACTGGGCTGTGCAAGGTCAGATTTTGTGGCTGGGTCTTGATAGGGTGGAGGAATTTCTGGAGGTAACTGTAGTGGTGTTATGGTGTGGCATGCCCAAAATTTTGGTGTATACAGATTCAACTGACTCTTTTTCTTTTTCTTTTCTTTGTTGACGGTGGCATAGATGGGAACTTGGGTAGAGGAAGGCTCAAGGGTGGACGCTGGACTTTTGTCCAGACTAGGTAGCGTGCTTACCTCGTCTGCAGCCTTTCACAGAAGACTGTGTATATATAGGCGGTCTTCCTCAACTTTGCTTTGACATGGAACCCTTCTCTAGCGTCTCCGCCGAGGGTTTGCACTTTAGTGCTTTTCATAATATGTGTCTGTTTCACCCTTTTGTAGTATAATTCACAGCATTCTAGATATGTATTTTTGAAGCCCTCATTAGACTATAATAATAATGATGTGGTCAATTGACCTCTCATTCATCTTTTCATGAAAACTGGTGGGGGAGGGGAGGAGAAACAGGGAATGAGGGGCCAGTAAAACTGCCCACCACTCCTAGTAAAGTGGCTATGCAGTATACTCAAAACATTGGTTAATTCACACAGTGGCGTAAGTAGCTTTACAAGCAGAACATTATTAAAATTACTGCAGGATAGGCTACAACACAACTGGCAATGGCTATCCCTGGATCACAGCTGCACTAAGCAGTGTTGTGAGAAGTGGGAATGTTGTCGTTTAGTACTGGACCATATGCCTCATTGGGAGTCAGCTGAATGTATTCTGAACTCTTGACCTCTCTTGCCGCACCCACCTCCTCATAGGTGACTGGTGGAGGGAGGGGAGGGGGAGAGGAAGAGGTGGGGCCAGACGACCTGCCCCTCACTCTCTGTATGAGGTACAGTCCCACCACTCCCACTAGAACTCCAATAGTTAGAAATGTAGCACTGCACACCGCTCCAATGACTATTGCTGTTGTATTACTGATAACATCAGGTTCTGCTGCTAAATAGAGTGAGCAAAATTGATTAACCCTCGGCGCGCATGCGCAGCGAGGGTTTACAGTGCTTGGTTTGTCATTCCGTCCGTCCGTCCGTCCGTCCGCGTGTCTGTCTGTTACCACGTTTTCTGCCACCACGCGCAACGAGACAACAAAATAGCGGTACCAACAGGTTCACACTGGAAATAGCGATTTGCGTTATCGAAACTGCAAAGATCCAATCTGCATTGGCCATAGAAGTACTGCGTTATGGCATGAAAACCAAAAGCACTTGAAAGTGCACACTGTTATGGAGCTTCAATAGTAGACTAAGAGCCTGTACATTCAGCAGCCAGTACTTAAAATGTGTAGATCTTACATATGTGTCTGTGACATTGGATGTGTGGGGAGAGTTGGCTAGCCATAAAAGATCTTTAACCCACCGTCCCCAGTTCTCAAGGCTGGGCATCCATGTCCTACTCTTGTGCTTGTATAGCCACGTAGAACATACACACACATACTATTCCGCTCTCCATATTCCCTATTACTTCCATAACTTGGGCGACCTTACAAATGTAAATAACACAGAAACCATAGAGTAGAGTAAGAGCTCGACAATATTGCACAACTATACGTTCCCAAGTAGAGTATATAGAAGTGAGTCAACAGTTAATGATGCATATATATATATACACCTTGGACCATTAGGAAGCCACACGCGGTGAGGTTGGCACACTCCTCCCACAATCTAGGACTATCTTCCTTTTCTTCCCCCAATACCCAACACACACACACACAACATAGACCAACTACAATAACCCTCGCTGCGCATGCGTGCAGGCGAGGGTTAATGATGTAGCAATCTACCACCAGTTCTAGTTTGGTGTAGCTAACACTGCCCCCAGGGAGGTATATAGAACTACTGCTAGTTGTACCATTAGGCTCCGTCACGTTGGTACGGCACTGAGTTGTTCCATCGTGGCAGACACATTCTCCGGCAGTTGTACCATTAGGCTCCGTCACGTTGGTACGGCACTGAGTTGTTCCATCGTGGCAGACACATTCTCCGGGAGTGTTGCAGTATCCCAGAGTCAGGTTGCAGGCGATCAGCTCACTACATGTGTTGACTGACAGACAGTCATCCCCACCATATCCCGGGCTACACTCCACACTGATGAAGAAGGTCAAGTTTGCTCTTCCGTTCTTCCCACCTCCAGCTACTGACACCTCTCCACTACCTGGTAAAGTGCCCACTGTGACAAATATGGTATCTATGGTATTATCATTAAACGGTGCAAAGTCTGGCATAAGTGTGACTCCAGCAAATATCTGAACCCCTCCCTGTAAGGGACGTGCTGTAGCTAACAAGAAATACAGATAATTTTAGTTTTACCTGATATCCAGTGGTAGTAAAGTCAGGATTACTCTGTATAATAGACAATTATCAGTGTTTGTCATTGGATTTTTGATTCTTACTCTAAAAGGGGTCAGTTGTCTGTCAATGATGTCGCTTCCATTACCAGTGAAGAAAACGGAACAACTTTCACGATCTTCAACAGGAGTATCAGGACTCCTGAGACATATCCCAATAGCGAGGTCCTCACACGAGCCAACCTGCTCACAGGAGGTGGGACTGGTGCAACAGCGAGCAGAGGAGACCCGCAGAGAAAAAGTCCATGCACCCCCGACCAACTGCAGAGAATCAAAATCACGCTGTACCTTGACAAAACAAACTAGATCCAACCTGTCGTATTAATAGGATGGCGAAAAGATAGGCAGCAACCGTCCAGCGATCCATTGTCGGAGACTCGATCGCGCGATCGCAGTAGAGAGCAGGGGCGCATGATATTTAGTACGCATGCGCACAACCGCGCTATTATGCGTTTGACTGTAACAAAGAATTTTGGTAGAGATAAAAATGTTTTCCTATTGAGACAGAAGTAGCTACAATCTTGAGTAAGTTAGTGTTCTACTGCGAGTATCATTTGTTGGTGGCTACGTTTGAGTAGTGAGGTTCTTCAGCAGACTTCTGAAACAGAAGGAGAAAACACGCATCATGAAACTGTAACCATATGTCATCATAGTTAGTTAACTAGCTACCTGAGATGGTGGTGTCCCTGGTTTAGTATGAGGGTCAATGGCAGAGTAGGTCACAGACTCCTCTTGGTTGGATTGTTATGGGACTGCCGGTGTAGGTGGCTTTGGATTGGCAGTCTTTTCCGCTTGGAAATCAAGATCAGCATACACCACACCCTGGACGATAGCAGGACAACTCTCACTGGTTACAGAGCTATTATGCAGTGCATGCACCTTACTGCTTCCGATAGAAGGGGCATTGCTCATATCTTCCTTGCCATGGCACACATCAGCCTGAAAACAAATTATGTGCCACTAAATGAAAATTTACACCTGTTTGGGGCACTGTAACTCTAGTCACTGTACATGGCAGTGTTTATTAGCTCATTGGCCTTCTATACAGCATAGGTGTTGCATGTACATAGTTAGTTATGGGAACCCTTACTTTAATAATCGTATGCTGATGGAATGTTAGGACATACCTGGTTACTGGGCTGTGCAATGTCAGATTTTGTGGCTGGGTCTTGATAGGGTGGAGGAATTTCTGGAGGAACTGTAGTGGTGTTATGGTGTGGCATGCCATGTGTATACAGATTCAACTGACTCTTTGTTTTTCTTTTCTTTGTTGACAGTGGCATAGATGGGAACTTGAGTAGAGGAAGGCTCAAGGGTGGATGCTGGACTTTTGTCCAGAGGTTTTTTCACCACCATCTCCTCTGGGAGAGGGCGAATAATTTGCAGCCAATATATGGTGTTTTGGGCAAACCTTTCGCTTTTCTTTTACTGCCCTTCTTGTAGTAGATTATGATAGCGATGAATACAAGGATGACGATCAGCAGGACAACAACAGCTACAATCACACCAGCTATGATAGGACCTGGATCATCATCATCGTTGTCGTCATCACTGCTGCTCCCTGCTCATGAGAGTAGATAAATGTAAAGTAACACTGTCAGTAAAGGAGGTTTAGCCTTATACAGACTAGCTATCCATATTATTTCCCGGCAAGATAATGATAGTATATAGTTAACGGTCTAGCGTTAAATGTGTTGTTAGTTTGCAGCTCCTAGCATTTTGCTTTTACTACATCTCCTGGCTTCCGGTGTTACTGTATTACTAAGACCCCTAATTATGATGCTGGTTTGCGAGCTAATGATGTAGCAATCTACCACCAGTTCTAGTTTGGTGTAGCTAACACTGCCCCAGGGAGGTATATAGAACTACTGCTAGTTGTACCATTAGGCTTCGTCACGTTGGTACGGCACTGAGTTGTTCCATCGTGGCAGACACATTCTCCGGCAGTGTTGCAGTATCCCAGAGCCAGGTTGCAGGTGATCTGCTCACTACATGTGTTGACTGACAGACAGTCATCCCCGCCATATCCGGGGCTACACTCCACACTGATGAAGAATGTGAATATAGCTCTTCCATTCAAACCTTGAGCAACTACTCTCATTTCTCCACCGCCTAGTGTGATATTTTCCGTGAAAATTATCTCATCAATAGTGGTTTTTGATCCACTAAATGGTCGACTGGTTGGCACAGTGCTAATTCCAGCATAGATCTGGATTCCGCCCTGCAAACATTTTATAGCCACTCCATGTGTCACTCTAAGAAGCCTATTTCAGCTTACTTGATATGCAGTAGTTAAAACGTTCCCAGGATTATTCTGTGTCATAAGGGAATTTAGCTATCATTCATCTAATCATGATTCTTACTTACATTGACAATGTCGTCTGGAGTCAGCGTTTCGTCAATGATTTTACTAACATTATCATAGCGAAAGAAATCGGACAGCTCTGACGATCTTCCACGAGAGTATCAGGCCTCCTGACACACAGCCCAATAGAGTGTTGACAAAGTCCAGCCTGCTGGCAGGTAACACTGCTGCAACAGTTGGTATCTCCGATACGTAGAGAAAACGTCCAGTCACACACGGCCAACTGCAGCAGCTAGAAAAGCCACGTCTTTCTTACTTCGGCTTGTTATAAAAAATGAGTTCTCTCACCAGGTGTGTCAATAGAACGAAAAGATACGCAGCAAACGCCCGGCGACCCATGGCGGTGGTATATAAAGTTATGCGCGGAGCGTTTCGTATGCGCATGCGCAAAATCTGCAGAAACTCGCTGGTATAATAATACACGAGAGAGATTGATCAGATTGTAGCACTTTTAGTACCTGTAAAACAAAGCACAAAAAACAACATTTTTGTCAGCGTGCACAGTGGTAATATTATACCCAACTTGTCGTCTTTTCTCCTCGATCCACACCTGACTCTGATGGCCGTCATGGGAAAGAGAGCACACAGGACCAGAAACAGGAGGACAATAGCTGCCAGCAGACTCAGAATGACATCCAGCTGGGCAGCTGGGGTTGAGTCGGGAAATCTGGATGGTCAATTTCTACAACGAAACAGAATTCGGTTCAGGAATAATATGTTACTGAGCATGTAGACTTGCTAGCTACCTTTCGAGCAGTCTACTCCAGTCCGGCCTTCGTTGCACACACATTCTCCCTCCACACACTTTCCACCCTCTGCGTCACATGGCTCACTGCACTCTGTATCTCCAGCCACTGCTTCACCCGCCATCCTTTGAGAGAGTTTGCCCCCATCATTAGTGAGTGGATTAGCCACCACTAATCCCTGCAGCAGGGACATATATACCACTGTATCATTCACTGAAGTGATGATTAAATTCTTACAGGCACCTTGGATAGCAGTACACTGCTGGCCAGTAGATATAGCAGTCCAATCATCACTGACATGACAATACAAATCTGTGCGGCAGTGTGCCACTGCGTGCAAACTCCTGTTTGGAAAACTGTGACGTAATGCGAATTCCACTCGATCTAGTCCGCTACTATGGAGTTGCTTGCAGTCTTTTGGAATTTAATAATATGAGACAGATATAAGTGAAATTTTAGAATAATACTGCACGTAAAAATCGATGTGAAAATGTGTATCTGGTGGTGAACGAATGAGGGTGGTGTATGTATAGGTTTCAGAGTTCTGTCTGCGTGGTCATGTCAAGGTTTATGTCTGTGAAGAAGTTTACATCTCTCATGAACGACTGAGAGAGAAAAGAAGAAAACATGAACACACACGTGTGTACTAGCTGTGTATCACAGACCTGTCTTTTGTCTCCCTCCTCTTGGGCTGCCTGCAGATACTCACTGGCTCTCCTCTTCATCCCGTCCTCATCGTCCTCCTCCTCACTCTCCTTTCTCTCTCTCTGCCTTCTCTCTGGCTTCCACGATCCACCTGTCTGTTTCTTTGGCCCGCCTCCCCTGCTAGACTTCTGTTCTGTACCACTGCCTCCGGTTCTTGGGAGATGAGAGGGTTTCAGCAGGACTCTTGGGGGTAGGGGTGGAGCTCCAGATCCTGACGATAAGCCAGCGTCCTCGCTCCCACCACTCCCACTTCTACCACCGGCTACTGAACTGCTTGGAGGACTGGAGCCGAGTGGTTGTTCTTTGCAGTACTGAGCCGCGAGGTAGGCTTTGTCTCCCACTGGGTCATCCTTGTAGTCAAACCCCAACCCACTCCTCCTGTTGGGGCTGCTGGAGGTGGTGATTTCAGCTGCAGCGCCGGTTGCTGGGGTGGACGGCTGGGGAGACTGTGAGGAGTTGGAGGAGAAGGAGTGAGGGTTGAAGATGATGGTGACCTCCGCGTCCTCCTCCACATGCTGCAGTCTCGGCTCCTCTGGGGACTCTGTATGCTGTTCAGCAACAGACAGAGAGAGAAAGTGTCTTAGAGGTCGCAGTAACACACAGTTAGACTGAAGAGTGTTTGAAGGGGTCAGAGTCAGAGTGGGCCAACCCTCAATATACATCTCTGGCCGTTTTTAAGGAGTGTTTGTGGTGTGCATTTATAGGGAGAGAGTGTCTTACATCACTGCTAGGGCCAGTCTCAGCATATGGCACATGGTCCCTGTAACCCACTCCGGGGAATGTCGGCTTGTGACTTACATCAAGGTGAGTGCCTCGATTCTCCGGTTCGTTTTCACCTGTGGCAGAAGATCGACAAATATCATCAATATTGCAGGGTCTTCCTCGGTGCTTTTCACTCACCGGGTACATAGAGCTCGGGACTTCGTGGAGAGATGACCTCGTGTTCTGGGTTGACAAAGGTCACTGGAGTGTTATACACATTATCCAGGAACACCGCTGTAGAAAAAAGTATTGGGTTACTCAGCCAACAAACAATCACCGTACTTAGATACCTGCTCTCATTTTCTCGTTTCTCCTCCTTTTCTTCATGATGAAGTAGGCACAGGGAATGGCCAGCACAACCAAGACAACTACTGCACCAATCACCCCCACGGCCCCTGCAATCACTGCCTGATTACCCGAGCTTGGAGGTGGAGGGTCGGTGGTCGTTGGCGGTGGTGGTGTTGGCGAGGTGGGGACAATAATTACAGGGGTGGTGAGCATTGTGGGGTTTGTTAAAGAACCGGTTTGTGTCACAGAAAATGTGCTCTGCTCTGGTATGATACTTGAGGAGCTAGTCTGTGATTCTTGGACAGTGGTAGTTGTTGGCATTTGAAGAGTGGTACTCTGTGGTTCTTGCATTGTGGTAGTTGGTAGCTCTTGCACGGTTGTAGTCTGTGGTTCTTGAATGATGGGAGTAGTTGCTTGAATGACGGTAGTTTCTGGCTGCTGGATGAGGGTAGTGGTGAGAGCTGTGGGGGTGGTTGGTAGAGAGGGAGAGATGAGAAGGTTTGAACTTGAAAAACCTCCCAGAGAGCTAGTGAGGACACCGGTGGACTCTGCAATTACTACAGGGCTAGTTCGGGAAGGACCCTGGGTCGATTGAACTGAGGGACTCGAGAAGGATGTGGAGACTACAGGAGTTGAAGTCAAGGTGGGTGAGTCAACAGTAGAGCGAAGATCGGCTGATGTGGGCGGCTGCATCGTGCTACTATTACTGTTCACTGTCACTGATAGCTCCATCGGTAGCTCCGTCGATGACATCATCACTGAAAGTTGTACCGATGACGTTGTAATTATCTCAACTGATGATATGACAACTGGTGGTGGGCTACTGAGTGTCACTGAAACCGTCTGGACTACAACGACTGGCAAAGACTCAAGAACAGGCACTGCTGTCGAAGTTGGCAGAATATCCACCACACCCGTAGAAACTAAATGGAAAGAATCGAGGTATATATGTACCCTCATTATGTATGAGGCAATATAAATGACTGACTGGAGAGGGAGCAGTTGTTTCCTGAGAATCCCTGTCGACAGAGGCAGTCGCCAGGCTCCTCACAGAAGCCTCCCTCAGCAGCTGTAAATCACCACAGAGACAGCACATATATAGCTAACACTGGAGTGTGACCACGTTCACAGACCCAATTATCCCATAAGGAACTCAGGTATGGGGACTAGCAACACTCAAAGTGGGCCACTATAAGGAAAGGAAGCAGTCTACGGACAGGCAGCAGAAACCATCATGTGTCGTGGCTATGGTCCACGTGCCATAATAGCTACACTCACAGCATCCTGGGGCAGGTGAGCACTCAGTACAGTTGGTAGAGGGGTTCTGGTAGCCTTCCAGACAGACTATCTCGCCATCCCGAGTGCAGGAAAAGTGTCCAGTGCTGTCGTTTCTGTCCCGACATTCACACATTGGCCCGTGGAACCCTAGCTGGCACTGTATGGCAAGTGTCAGGTTTAAAACACTGTCGTTCTTGGTCCCAGCGACAGAGAGGGCGTCAGTGGTAGCTGTGGCGCCAGACTGAGCCGCTTTGGCCTCATACTCTATCTCAAACATCTCCACTGGGTTAGCATCAACTTCCAAAGGAGTTATCAGTATCTCAATTGAGCCCTGTGTCATACCAAGGGATCAATTATTAAAAATTCTTTGTAACACATGACTTACTGGCCACGGTTCAGATGAATGAAAAGCTCCTCCAGAGTTGGATGGGATATTGAGTATGGGGCATTCGTTTGCCAATGGGTTGGAACCACTGGGGCGAATACAGATGTTGTACTTTGAGATATTGCATGGGGTAGAGCAAGCATCCGCTGCCTCTGCCACAATACAACAAGCTCCGGTTGCATCAGTGTTGCTAGGATTGTCAAAACCGACTACATTCAGATTCACAATGAACTCAGCACCCACACAGACCTGTAAGACAGTGGAGACTCTTATAGCCAGACAAGCACTGCAAGGAGCTATGGACTTTCAGCTAGCAACTAACTCACCCACTGAATGGAGAAGAGCAGAAGGGAAGCTAGGACCAGGGCCCTGTAGCAGTTCCATTCAGCTCTATGAAGGGCTGTCTTCATAGTGCCTTCTGCCTCTAGCTCTATGCAAGACTTAGTAGCTATGTCTCTGGATACTAAAGAATGCAACTGTGAACCTGGACTGTGTGTAGAGAGCTGTTTAATGCACGGTCCCTGAATCAGGAATGTGGGTTTCCTGGACCAAGGAGGCTTCTCTTGTGGCTAAACATACTCTGTCAGTGCATTGCCGTAGCCCATATGTGTGTGTGTTGTACAGTATCATGGATGGCTGCAGTTGTGTAGCAGAGAATCCCTATTTAGCCCAAGGGGTATTTTACTGTAACCTGCTGGGTTAATGGAGGAAGCAGAAAATGGCTGTTCTTGTGACTTCAGGGTCGACGATGGGTGTTTTACCCACCATCTTATGATGGTGTTGTATGTTCCTCATATAGCTCCCTATCACCAGAGGAAGAACAAAGGGGAAAAAAAAAGTGAAATTAGAAGGTAAAACCCAACCCGAATTAGAAAAAAGTATAAATAAAAAAAAAACAAAAAGGAAAAATAAAGAAACAAGAGCATACAAAATAAATAGAATCAGTATAAAGAAAGTAAAAAAAATTAAAAATATAAAAAAAAGAACCAATCATATATAAATAATAGAAATAAATTTATCAAAAAAAAATTTAAATAATATCTTGATTTGTAGTGTCAAAAATCATTTCTCTATGATTCACAGACTGACTCATATCCGCAAGAGGCATGCATAGTAATAAAGTGAGGGGGGTAGTGCACAAGTGAGTCAGTTGAACTTGGTATTATTGAAGCAGAGTGCAGTTCACTAGAAGCGACTTGCCTGGTCTCTCCCTTTTGCAGAGGATCTATGGTCTCCATTCTCAGACTTCATGACGCCAATGGAGGGTACGGTTGCTGTAGTGCAACGAGGGGTAGAAATCAAACTGGAAAACCACCAATATGTACACAATGCACACAACCTCATTGTCCTCATACACGACAGGATGACATCACACATTCGCATTTAAGCCAGAGGAGTGAATTCCATGCGTCCTACATACTCTGTGCAACATCCTGTGTCACAGTATTCTAGCTCTGTTCATCTAAGGTGCGGTCATATTCAACAACTATCTGCTGTAAGTCGCGACGCGTAGGAATTGTGAGGATGTTGGTTGTGCTGCGATGTGTAGTACTACACGCTGAAGTTCATTGTCCTTTAGTCTGACCTCGACACTAAATACAGAGGCCATAAACCAAAGAGAAAAAGAAAAAGGTATAAAATTTAGGATTTGGGTTTTGACTTGTCAGCTCGTAAGCAATACCAGTAGGGGATCTGGATATTTAACCCCAGTGTACCGAACGACCACTGCAGACCCCCTTGATCGTTACTCACTTGATGCTGGAGAAGGGCGTTTCCCTTCAGAATTGGACAGAACTTGTCTCCAGTGATCTACTTTCTGAGGATGTTGAATGCCAGAAGAGGAGGCTTCTGACGCATGCTGAAGGAATCAATCCATACCCAGAGGTTTACATATCTCGACTATTCACATCTATGATGCATTTAGACACCTTGCATAGCACAAGGCTCAATAATCAGCAGTGCTAGCTGAAATGATTGACGTTCTCTGACGAATAGACTACGCCATTGACGGGCATGAAGTCACATGTATCAGTTCGGTTCTGAAGTGGAATAATTGTGGTGTGTTTTCTCACTCTCTGTGATACATATATAGTAACATGCAGTGGACTGACTAAACAACATTTACAGTCTCATGCGTCCCAGGCACTCTTTTATTTGTGCAAAGCGTGTGGTTTCAAGAAGTGAGGTGTATAGGTGACCAGACAAGGATGATCATAATACAGAAGGTTGTTACCCCCACATGCGGCCCACTACAGTCACTCCAGGCTTAATACCATCTCCGATCTGTTGGTGGAGGTTGACGGGTGGCAACTCCACAGCATACAGTTGGCGAGTAAGACAAAAGGCACCAGTTTTCACTGATGTGCACTGGTTGTGGCACTGTATTCTCGCTAGTAGTTGATGATGAATGATGATGAGAGGAAAATTAGGGGGGGGGGCCCGAAGATTGATGTTGATATTGTCCACTGATTGTGGGCTAGGACGCTAATATGTGACGTACTGGATTGATAGATATGCTAAGAGTTGTATTGTAGGCATGTTGTACCTTGATTGAAATCTTGCTGGGCAGTGTCAGTGCAGTGTACATTGATTGAAGATCTGATAATGTACCTTCTGTCAGGTAGCTGCAATAGATAAAGCAAAGACTAGCAAATGCTTATCGCAATTTCATCCTCAATGCGCGAGCAAAGGAGTATTTGTTAGGAGGGCTG